TGATCCTAATATGAATTTCTTTTGATAATTGTTCTAAAATTGTGCACATGACAAATGGCGTTATGATTTACCAAAATGTAAGCTTTCCTTTCACACCATACATTTGATTATAATTTGCATGTACAAATAATGTCAATTCAAGTATCTTCATGTATGTGAGAGGAACAGCTCTGGTTTCTTAATAGTACTGTAGCAGGAACTAACTCACGTGTTCCTAGAAGTGGTGCATCTGGTTGATTTAGTATCAAGATTTGGAACGCGGGTAGCTCAGACATCATTCTTTACTTTTTCCTCTTATGTGTGTGAAAGAGAATTGGATGGCAATGCATGTCTTAAAAAATTTATTGAACTCTGAAAATTGTTTTCAGGATTTGTTAGGACTTTTAAATATCATACGTAATCTTAAAATTAGCCAATAAAAATTACCATTTTTATGGTTGAAGCACTTACTGATGTTGCTTACATCTTTAAAGTGTCTGAATGTGTCTTATATTACATATTGAACTCTACCTTCGTTTTTTTATACAATATAGATTACTTTTGCACTGATTTATCTGATTTTTGAAACAGTGCAACAGAACTGCTCGTGTTACATTGTATGGCACTTTCTCCATAGCTGAGGTTATTGTACTGTATTTGGCTAGTAGATCGCTGTTAATGAAAACAGGCTGAAAGGATACATTAGTATTCAGATTATGAAATCATTTAAAACTTTAAAAAGTAAAGCTATCCCACTATGTACCATTTATGTGCTCGTGGGGGAGAAGAATAGCTCCTACTCATTCTCAACCTTGGCGCTAGATGAGAGAGAGTGGTCAGCTTCACGGCCCAGTCGCTCTTTACCCCCGGGAAATGGACCCACCAATACCCGTTGGATAGGAGTTTGGCTGCGGAGGCTAGAAGGAAACCTGTTCCTCTTTCAGGGATTGAACCCCATTGTTTGGCCTGTAATCAGTCACTGTACTGAGTTACTTCAGAGACACTGTTTCTATGTGTTTGTAACTAATTCTGCTTAATGATAACATTTTATGAATTAGCATATAGCGGGATTTGACAGAACAAGCATTGCAGTGTAACAAAACTAAGACAGGTCCAATATATTTTAATGTTAAGGGCTTGAAATCTCCAAATGTGGTGAAGAGTAGCCTCCACATATAAGTTTACTGGTTTATTAAGTAGGATTTGAGGTTCTCATGGCAACAAGTATGAAGATGGCTTCTGGTAGTTTACCGACTCTTTACAGGTACCTTCAGCGGTGAGAACCTGAAATCTTGTATACATCTTCATCTTTCTCCTTTACACAAAAGTTCATTCAGATTTGGGTTAATGAGTTTAAATGTAAGAATACTTTATTCATGGCATTGAAAACATTGGCATTACCTACAGTAGCAGTTTACCTTACTGTTTTGAAAGTATTCTTGAAAACTGAAAATGTATAATCATATGGGAATTTATGTTGGATGTACTGAACAATATGCAGTTTGAATTATAGTTGCAAATGTTCTTGAGTTTTGGTGCACGTGCATTTTAAAGGTTATATACTTCAAGAATTTTTAAGGCAGTACAATTTGAATATGATACAGAGGTTTTAGAATTAAAATTACATTCTTCATCGTAAATTTTCTGTAGGACATTATTGTAAGAACCATTAGTTTTATCTACAAGTTAAATTCTGTTGAGAGAATTTTTCTCATAGCTGGTAGACAATATGAATAATGTGCTGTTTAGATGTTTATGTTATGAATGATATATTAAGTCTGCAAACAAACTGTTGTGTGCAATTAAACAGTTAGGATAGTAGTGAACAGTAAACATGTTTGTATGTAAGGAAACCCATTTTTTACTATAGGTCTTTGTTGTGTTTGTGTTTATGCACATTCCGTTCAAACTTTATAAACTGAATCTGTGTGAGGAAGAAAAATATTAGTTTCAGAATTTGTTTTTTCTTCAAATGGGTAAGAGAGAGGTAAAAGTGAGAGACTGTCTTGGAATCACTACAGACAGCAATTTATGTAGAGAAGCAAGTGTAAAAACATGCAGAATTTTTAATTTTGTGTATAAAGCTACTGAACTGTACCATGCAAGGGAAATATCATCATTTGTTACATTTGTAAATTGTATGATATATTGAATACATGTGAAGTTGAAAGTTATAATACAGTTATTAACATCTGCCTTAGATATTTAAGACCTTGGATTGCTCTGTCTCCATTTTGTAATTAGTTTTAAAACTCCCATCTCTGAATTGTGTAGCGTCTGTGTTTGTAGTATTCTTTTTTTTTTATAACTTAAATTGCGTCTGTGTTTGTAGTATTCTTTTTTTTATAACTTAAATTTCATATAATTTGTATTTATCTTCAGTTATTTCTGCATTTCTATTTATTATCTTCTGAGTGTTATTGTGGATAATTTGAATATTATACTTACATGTTGGGGGTTACCGAACTTTTACATAGTCCAATCTGGAGGATCAGACCAGAATACATGTAACCAGGGGTCAGTTTAGAAATGTTTGTGGCTGCCACAGCAGACTCTTGGCATATGATGTTCACAATAGATATTAGATCTAGGCATTACGTGGTTATATTTCTTTTAGATGAAAATGTAATTCATGCTCTGTATTCTTAGTCATGTAGTATTTATTTATACATGACAATCATCGTTCTTATTTTTTTATGCTCCCATTTCCCATGATTCATATTGCCACTGCCTTTCGTTCTTATTTTTTTATGCTCCCATTTACCATGATTCATATTGCCACTGTCTATTTTCATGAAACTTCTCTTAACAGTTTATGCCTCTCAGTTTCTTCAAAAGTGTACTAAGTTACATGGTGCTACATTCTAGACAACAGCCATCTTGTTATTCATTGCTGTTATAACCTCAAATCTCACATATTACAGAAATTCATTTTAACACTTCACAAATTAATAAATCTTTTCCAGGTGATGTAAGCTGATAAACTGTGAAAAAAAAGGCCCCCTTGCCATTTCCTGTCACCTCAAGTGCCCAAAAACCAATTAAATTATTCCCTCAATGAAAATTGCTCTCTGTACTAAAACAGGTTGTATTTGGAGAGTAAAAATTAGACAACATTAAAAACAACTGACAAAAATATTTATATTTAAATGTGTTCTAAACCATATTTACAAAAACTTGACTCTTTTTCAAAATAGAGAAGTTACTTTATAGGCTGATAAGCTATCCAAACTTGCTTTGAAAGGGTAAAACCTTTTTTAATTGCAAATTTTTATAAGTTATGTTGAAGACAATTGATTTTAATGGCACAGTAAGATGGTAGTTGGCACATTGAACACACAACAAAAGTACCATGAACATAAATTTCCATTTGAGTGGTTTCAATTAAGTTCATGGTTAATTGGTCTTATTCTGCAGTTTAAAGTGCAGCATTTTAGCTATAATTTGTTTTTGTAGCATCTAAGCTGGTGTTTCTTTATCCCTTATATAAGAATGGGTACTTTTTAATACTACATAAAGTGTGTTGTTTTGTGCCCATTGTGTCATTTCACTAGACATATTGCATGTTCCACTGTATTGTTTATATGCTGATATGTAAGTTTTGGATAAGGTAAATATATTGAATGTGTTAATACATACCTTGGCAGATAAAACTCTTTATTTATGTTATTGTTCTGCTAAGTGGTGACCAACAATTTACTTTACTAGAGCAGAGCGCTCCTTTCGGAGCTCCTCGGGGGGATTGGTCAAGTTTGTAAAACGCAACCAACTAAACTAAACTAACCCCTCCCCCTAATGGAGGGTTAAAACACTTGTGTTTTAAAATCTTAAGTAACACACTAAACTATCCCCGCTGTCTCTATCTGATATTTTACTTCTTTACGTCGCTGATCAGAGGCCAACAGTTCTTGGTCAGTCAACTATCTACGTCCAGCCCCACCCTTGCAAATCTTCGTCTTAAAATCGATCATAATAGTTTTCGTAATCGTAATATATCGAGTATATATGAGCAGTATTATTAGTATCACTTTACCTTGTTGCAGTTGGATTTGGTACATCAAATAGTTGATAACTGGGTTGGTAGTGAAGCGTTATTTGTTTACTCGGCATTGTTGTGTTGTACTCGGCATTGTTGTGTTCCACAACAATTCCGAGTAAACAAATATCTATTGACATTGTTGATGACGTCATTTCTTGAAGACAACGACTAATCACAAATTTTTATAGTAGATATGTTAAGGACTACTTTCATGTGAATGTGCGCACATATAGTGGTTCCTTTTTATGTGTGTACAGTTCAGTCCATATTAAAATATTTATTTATGGCTAAAATTCAGTGCTATTCAATTGGATTAATGAACACACAATATTTCTGTGACTACAAGAGCTCGCGCGCGTCACATCGTTTTCCAAATTGTTATTTATCTTTCAGTACTCAAAGTACAAGGAAGAGATGAGTGTTCATTGTCGCACAATACCTGTCATCTTATTCTTATGTAACTAGCCAGAATGAGTTTACAGATACATTTCCCAATTCTCCTATGCCAAACAAATTGACAGTATCTCATTTGGTGACCATTTTCATGACAGGAAGTGTGCAGGACAGAAACCAATCCAGTCAATCTTCAATGTTAAGTGATCATACAGTGCACAGTGGACATTTACAACACTTAATATAACATTCTTTTGTTTCCTGATGTCAATGTATTCCCCCCCACTCACGAAATGTCATGTTTTTTTATGAATGTTCTAATGAAATTAAATATTTAACATTGATAATACAGCATTAAAAGAAATGAAGCAAAATAAAATTACCATTATAAGTGCATGATTCTGACTGGTGGTTCTTCATCACGCCAATGGAAGAATAATCAACAACTTCAGACTTCACTACTGTAGTCTAAGGATGAACTGCTTTGGTTATAACATTGAATGTTTGGCGTCATTTCATGTAGAATTTGTTGAGAATATTGATGTAATTGTGTAATAATGATGTGTTTCCTGTGGTCTCTTGTTAACAGCTACAGAAAAATTCATCAACAATGGGAGTTCAGAAAAGAGTACATCTTATTTCCAATATGGCAAGTTCTTTTAGGACAGACCCTAAGAGCATTGGTCTGAAAGTGACACAACAGAAACAGCCAACAACAACTGTGGGCAAGTACAGCTTCAAAAACCATTACTTCACTTATCGAAGAATGCGAACTCTGTGTACAGAAAACTTTCGTACCATGAATTTTCTGGTGACATGCCGATGATAAAGTAATGGACATGGAAATGTCTGACGTTGATTTTGAAGGCTTTCAGATAGGAAAATATTTGGAAAATATATAATTTTCCTTATATTTAATTATATTAGTGACATGCCGATGATAAAGTAATGGACGTGGAAATGTCTGACGTTGATTTTGAAGACTTTCAGATAGGAAAATGTTTGGAAAATATATAAATTTTCCTTATATTTAATTATATTGTAATTAAATATAAGGAAAATGTTTTCTAAAATCTGAACTTTGAAGCTTTAGTTATAAATCAAAATATAGCAGTGTGTGCATTTATAGACAACATTGTCTAGATTTAATTTTATGAAGGATCTTTATTAATTTTCAGCATCAACAACAGATGGACCAGCAACGACAGATGCTGCGCTTGCTGCGTTGGCAGCAGAGGCTGGTCTGATTGACCCAGAATCTCCTCACGAAGCTTCAGTGCTTGTAGGAAATGATATTTTTAATGCTGAAATAAATGGTCATGCAGAAGATACAGAAAAAGGTGTTGAAGCCTCTGGAAATCCAGGAGATGATGTTGGAGGAACATCTGAAAACAATCAAGGCGGAGATCAGGGTAGCAGTCAGGGAACAGCAGGCAACCCGCCTGAGAACCCTGGCAGCATTGACAATCCTGGAAGTTCGGAAGAAAATGGAAATACTGGAGGAAATGCTGGTAATTCAGGAGGTGACCCTCCACATCCTGGTGGTTATGGGGATTTTCCAGATCCTGAATATATAGGACAACAGAATGATGATGAGGATGAAGAGGAGGAAGAGGAAATAACACAAATGGAGGACGAACATGCTGAAGATGCAACTGAAAATATAACCCAAAATTTGTTGGACATTCCTCTTCCATTTTCTGAGAATCCAGTGCCTCCTGTTGTTCAGTTGGCTCAAAATCCAATTGATGATGAGGTCGAAGATCTGAAGAGTCCAGCTAACGCCGTTCAATCTGCTGGAGTTCAGTCAAGTACACATGGGGATTTCAGTCAAGCTGTTCAGGTGCTTGGTTCATCTGGGGACTTGAATCCAGATCCGGTCAAAGATACTGCCGAACCTCCCGCAACTGCAGAAGATGCACCACAAGAAACAGAACCAGATTTTGAAGATGATGTACATGAAAATGTTCTTTCTAATAATTCAGAAAATCCTGGGGGGAATGTAGATGGCAGCGTTGCGACTGAAAGCGGCAGTGGGATGGATGTTTCTAACACTCTCAGTCCTCGTATAGAGAATGGAGTTAACGCTGTTGGTAACAACAGTGACCCCAAAGATGAAGGAAATGTGGAAAGCAAGGATAGTGGTAATCAGGTGCAAAGCGGACTACAACTTGCTACTGGAAATGGCGCTGAAGAAGGGTTACAAGTAAATCCGTCCCAGAGTCAGGGAGAAACTCCAATTGCCAGCAATGAACAATCGCAGGTAAATTCTGAAAAAGGAAAGGAGTCGTCTGAGAATAGTAAAAGAAGTGAGCAGCCTTTGCTTACTGCAACCCAGCGGGAGGAAGAAAAGTCAGACGTTACCCAAGTCAAAACTGAGCAGCTGGATGACATAGATTCAGACTCGGATGCACTTGCTACGCTGGCTACGGCAGCCCTGGGATGTGACCAGGCCCCCACAAATGGCGTGAAGTCAGAATTACAGGTAAGTAAATACCATTTGTATAAACATAAATTAGTTTTCTTTTAAAATAAATGAAATTGAATTATTAAGATGGCATTTTGAATTTGAAATGCAACCACAATTACTACACACAGACCCCTTCGTGCACCAAACGACAAACCCAATGGCAGTATCGGATTTCTGCGGCCAATATCCAGTTGTTGCAGCTGACTAACTTCAGCTGTTTTTTCGCTTGTCAGATTCAAGCCCTTCATGTGTCGTGAAATTTGCCTTGGTCTCTTATTCCATACCTCTTTGTCAAGATACACACTGCTATATGCTTTGCGAGAAGCAGCAGATTATTTCAGCATCTTTGTCAAGATACACACTGCTATATGCATTCAGAGAAGCAGCAGATTATTTCAGCAGGGAGACCATGACTTAAGTGCCAGTTTATGAGAGTGTTACAGTGTATAATAAGCAACTATTAGGAATACAGATTCAATCCTGATTGCAAGAAAGTACTTTTAAAAGTTCCAGATTTGTTATTTTTCAAAGCTCGCTCTATTTCATAGTCAATTTATTTTCATAATTACAATTTTTTTACAATGTGATATTTCACATAGCATGAGATTATTTAGAATTTATATTAAAAGCTGTTTTCATGAATAACTTTTAGTATTTGAAGTCTGTAATTTTTTGACAGGACTTGAAAGTAAAGCAAGAATCTGGACATACTCCCATGGTTGAAACTGTAAAGAAGAAAGAAGTACCATTATGGCATGATGTAGGTGTGATCAAAGGCACGTCATGCACTGTTACCATGTTCTATGTACACCCAGATAATAAGGATGATATCAATCAAGAGTGTGATCAAGATACAATCACTGCTGATAATCTTCCTGACTATTCCCTCTTGGCAAAGATTCAGCTAGAACCAGGAACAGCATATAAATTTAGAGTTGCTGCTCTCAATTCCTGTGGTCAGGGCCCCTGGAGTGAGGTAAGATGAAAATGATATTGCTGTTTAGTTTGTATATTCTTCAAAACTTGTAGCATCTTTTATCCTAAAAGAGTCAGTTCAAAAACCGTGAGAACGAGGGGTATGTAACATGAAAATATATCTAAGAAAAACAGGTTGTTAAACCGAACTGGTGAAATTTCAGGTACAGTGGTAAACTTTCGTATTAATTATGAGCCTTCTGAAGTTGCGGCTAATATTAACAGTTTTTATTTCAAACATGGTGTAGGGCAGTATAATAAAATGTACCAACTATAAACGGTTAAGAATTACTTTGAATTGGTCGCCACATATTTTTTAGGTCTCGGCTTTCAAGACTTGCCTACCTGGTTACCCAGGTGCCCCTTCAGCTATCAAGATCTCAAAGTCCATCGAAGGAGCCCATTTATCGTGGGAGCCACCACCAAGCACAACAGGAGAGATATTTGAGTATTCCGTGTATCTTGCTGTGCGCAGTGCCACTTCCCAGGCACAGGTCAGTATGTAATGGATGATTCAATATGTTAAAAGGGTACTTCTGATATTTCAGGTTCTCATGGTGGTAAGTATGAAGATGACTCTTCTGTGTTGTCGCACCATGTAGTGTAATAGAATTTTTATCAACATTTCAGAAGTGCAGTAGTGACTCATTGCCCTGCGTTGTGAGTCACCCCAGTGATAGAGGCATCAAGCACCTCTGAAATGTCAGTAAACTTCTACCAGACTGTGCGTCTCAACAATCTAGAAGGCGGCCATCTTCATAAAGGCTATTTATTTCATGCTTGGCCCCACTGGCAAATTTTATGGAATATGATACAATAATTCAAAAGAGATTTTTCATTATAATGATTTCACATTTATGATGATAACTTTCTGTGATCACAATCGCAATTCCATAAAATATATTTGTCAGTTTAATTAATATATTCTTCTATTTATTGCAGTTTGTATTCTTCTTACTAGTAAAGCTATTGTCCGTTTGTTCTGTGTGTTCTATTCACATTCATGAATGCATGGATAATCAGTAAATTTTTTGTGATGAAAATTATTATTCATCTAAATATTTTAGTGAAAAAGTTTTAAATTTTATCCATTTTGTTTATATATTGTTAGGGTGATACAAAAACAGTTTCTACCACACCAAACCAGCTGGCTTTTGTCCGCGTATACTGTGGTCCAACTAATCAGTGCACTGTGCCAAACTCATCCCTCTCAGCAGCTCATATTGATGTCACAACAAAGCCTGCAATCATATTCAGAATTGCAGCTCGTAATGAAAAAGGCTATGGTCCTGCTACCCAAGTAAGGTGGCTACAGGGTAAGTATATGAGGTACATTTGCATGGATGTGAATTATCTGTAATATTTATAATTTGAAAGACTGGAATAAGTTTAATATACGAGGTGAAGGTTTTGCGGTGACTGAAGTTGATAAAAAATTCTCGTGCCAGTGAACAAAAGATATCTTACGCCAACGTTTTGAGAACAATCTCTGTTCTCATCCTCGAGGCTGCTGGGTAACCAGTCCGTTCCTTTGTCGCATGCTAGCTGATGGGAACCCTCGAAAAGTCAGCAGAGGATATGGTTTGTTTACCGTTCAGCCACCTCACGTGGCTCGTAGCCTGAGAATTTTTCTCAAGTATAATATACATTAGCAACATTCAGGACAGTAGCGTACATAATTTTTATTGCTACTTAGCATTTTTTAGTCACTAAGACCTTGTTATCTTGAATTGATGAATTGTATGTGCATTTCACAGACCCCTCTACTCAAGTCAAGGTGCCAGCGGGTATGAAACGCCCAGGCGCTGATAGCAAACCGATGTCTCCTGTCAAAAGAATGAAAGGTGAAGATTCTTGAAGTGGTTAAGTGATTTAAGAAGTATAATAGTATTTCTTTTTCATGAAGAAGTTGTTTGTTCTGCTTATGACATAAATCATGTCCAGGACAGCCAGTTTTTACTCAAGAGTGTAAAGTTGCATATTGACAGACAGCTTGGTAATGTTGATACCTACAAGAATCAGTATGTTTATTTCGTGAATTAAGGCTGGTTCAGTTTTAAATTATAAACATTTAACATTGTTTATGTCTAGACTTATTTCTCGGAAAAGAATTTTCTTTTAGTTAATTTCCTTTGCTTTATCTCAGCTTAGTATTTTTCCCAACAGAGTTTATGTAAGTCATATTAACATTCAAATGTAATTAACTAGTTAATAAATTGTATTTTATTGTAGAATATCAGGGGTGGAATGAACATCATTTAGCCTCTAAACAGAGTTGCTCATTTCACTTAACATTTATTTGTACTCACATGCTGTTTAGTGGAATATAATCAATAAATTGAATACCCGCTTTATTGTGTATGGAAGTATGAGTTCTTTATTTCTTTCTCAGTCATGTGTATGGTATAAATTTATAGAAAACAGTGTATATGTTGTAAGATTTTAGGTTTTCACATCAATGAATCTGAAGATGGCTGTTTTCTGGATTTTTGTGCCATGTAGTCTGGTAGAAGTTTACCGACTTATCGGAGGTCCTTGCTGCCTCCATCATCAGGGCCCTGATGATGGAAGCAGCAAGGTCCTTTGAAATGTTGGTAAACTTCTACCAGACCACATGGCACAACAATCCAGAAGACAGCCATCTTTAGTGTATATGTTGTGACTTACAGTATGTGGATTTGCAAAGAGAAGTACTTTAGGTTAATAAAATTGATCCAGTAGTGAGTTGTTTCTTTGTCATTTAGTTAAAATCTAGTAATGAATAAAAATGAAATACGGTGATGGTTGCCTTACTGATATTTTGTTTTTTGTGTTGATTATGTCAGGGCTGTCATTGAAGGAGATATTGCATAGCTTCAACAATTTACTGAATTTTCTTTCTTCAATTTCATTGTGAAATACTTATATCTGACAAAAGATAACTAGACAAAATTTGAGAAATGATTTTAACAGCATTATTGGAGGTTATGATCACCTTCAAACTATTGCCCTTTTGACTATATTAATACATCACATTCTGTCATGCCTGGAAATTATTTCCTGGAAGTCCTTTTCAATTTCCTTGTAGTGAGATTCAGAATGGTATTCGTTCAATGAAATTTTTAATTTTGGAAACATATCCAACTCATGTGGATAAATATCTAATGGGTATTTGTCAGCTGTTCGCTGTACTGGATGCTTAGTCAATGGTTTTGGTGTTGGCCAATTTGGTATTTGTCTGTCATATTCTTGGATGACTGCTGCCACATTTCATCACAGATTCCATAAAATTGTTATCCACATAACCTTCATTAGCATACATTTGTATTATGAAAATATCAGCAGTTCATCACATGACATGTCACAGCCTTGCTGTAGGTATGTGTCCAGTGAATGTGTACCGAGCTGTCTGATCAGCAGTGTTGCTAATTGTGTGCCATACTGTGCTTATTGTTAGCTTTGTGCATGTATAAATCCTTGCTTTAACAATTTCATGTCTGTAACTCCTTGAATATTCACAATAGTAAAATTACTACTGTTTATTTCTGATTTGTAATAATCTGCCCTGAATTAGTTTTACGTTATTGAACACCCTGAATATCCTTAGCCAAAGGAATCTAGTCCATAGTCTCCCACCCTGTTTCTTTAAGATCCATTCTAATGTTATCCTCTCATTTAAGCGAAAGTTTTCCATTTAATCGCAGGCACTCCATTCAAAATGTCATATGCATTTCTCATCTCCATCACATGCTACATGCCCTGACCAACGTATCCTTCTTGATTGGATCATCTTAAAAATATGTGGTGAAGAGTACAAATTATTAAGTTTTTCAATATACAAGGGTATATTAAAACCCTTCTTAATTGCAGAAGTGTTTAAATAAAGAAATAACATACATGTGAAAATTAATTCCATGATACATCATTCTTGTTTTCATTTCTAAATGTATTTTGTTACGAATTAACAAAATGGTTGCATAAGTTGTGAGTCACCCCAGTGATAGAGGCATCAAGCACCTCTGAAATGTCAGTAAACTTCTACCAGACTGTGCGTCTCAACAATCTAGAAGGCGGCCATCTTCATAAAGGCTATTTATTTCATGCTTGGCCCCACTGGCAAATTTTATGGAATATGATACAATAATTCAAAAGAGATTTTTCATTATAATGATTTTACATTTATGATGATAACTTTCTGTGATCACAATCGCAATTCCATAAAATATATTTGTCAGTTTAATTAATATATTCTTCTATTTATTGCAGTTTGTATTCTTCTTACTAGTAAAGCTATTGTCCGTTTGTTCTGTGTGTTCTATTCACATTCATGAATGCATGGATAATCAGTAAATTTTTTGTGATGAAAATTATTATTCATCTAAATATTTTAGTGAAAAAGTTTTAAATTTTATCCATTTTGTTTATATATTGTTAGGGTGATACAAAAACAGTTTCTACCACACCAAACCAGCTGGCTTTTGTCCGCGTATACTGTGGTCCAACTAATCAGTGCACTGTGCCAAACTCATCCCTCTCAGCAGCTCATATTGATGTCACAACAAAGCCTGCAATCATATTCAGAATTGCAGCTCGTAATGAAAAAGGCTATGGTCCTGCTACCCAAGTAAGGTGGTTACAGGGTAAGTATATGAGGTACATTTGCATGGATGTGAATTCTCTGTAATATTTATAATTTGAAAGACTGGAATAAGTTTAATATACGAGGTGAAGGTTTTGCGGTGACTGAAGTTGATAAAAAATTCTCGTGCCAGTGAACAAAAGATATCTTACGCCAACGTTTTGAGAACAATCTCTGTTCTCATCCTCGAGGCTGCTGGGTAACCAGTCCGTTCCTTTGTCGCATGCTAGCTGGTGGGAACTCTCGAAAAGTCGGCAGAGGATATGGTTTGTTTACCGTTCAGCCACCTCACGTGGCTCGTAGCCTGAGAATTTTTCTCAAGTATAATATACATTAGCAACATTCAGGACAGTAGCGTACATAATTTTTATTGCTACTTAGCATTTTTTAGTCACTAAGACCTTGTTATCTTGAATTGATGAATTGTATGTGCATTTCACAGACCCCTCTACTCAAGTCAAGGTGCCAGCGGGTATGAAACGCCCAGGCGCTGATAGCAAACCGATGTCTCCTGTCAAAAGAATGAAAGGTGAAGATTCTTGAAGTGGTTAAGTGATTTAAGAAGTATAATAGTATTTCTTTTTCATGAAGAAGTTGTTTGTTCTGCTTATGACATAAATCATGTCCAGGACAGCCAGTTTTTACTCAAGAGTGTAAAGTTGCATATTAACAGACAGCTTGGTAATGTTGATACAAGAATCAGTATGTTTATTTCGTGAATTAAGGCTGGTTCAGTTTTAAATTATAAACATTTAACATTGTTTATGTCCAGACTTATTTCTCGGAAAAGAATTTTCTTTTAGTTAATTTCCTTTGCTTTATCTCAGCTTAGTATTTTTCCCAACAGAGTTTATGTAAGTCATATTAACATTCAAATGTAATTAACTAGTTAATAAATTGTATTTTATTGTAGAATATCAGGGGTGGAATGAACATCATTTAGCCTCTAAACAGAGTTGCTCATTTCACTTAACATTTATTTGTACTCACATGCTGTTTAGTGGAATATAATCAATAAATTGAATACCCGCTTTATTGTGTATGGAAGTATGAGTTCTTTATTTCTTTCTCAGTCATGTGTATGGTATAAATTTATAGAAAACAGTGTATATGTTGTAAGATTTTAGGTTTTCACGGCAATGAGTCTGAAGATGGCTGTTTTCTGGATTTTTGTGCCATGTAGTCTGGTAGAAGTTTACCGACTTATCGGAGGTCCTTGCTGCCTCCATCATCAGGGCCCTGATGATGGAAGCAGCAAGGTCCTTTGAAATGTTGGTAAACTTCTACCAGACCACATGGCACAACAATCCAGAAGACAGCCATCTTTAGTGTATATGTTGTGACTTACAGTATGTGGATTTGCAAAGAGAAGTACTTTAGGTTAATAAAATTGATCCAGTAGTGAGTTGTTTCTTTGTCATTTAGTTAAAATCTAGTAATGAATAAAAATGAAATACGGTGATGGTTGCCTTACTGATATTTTGTTTTTTGTGTTGATTATGTCAGGGCTGTCATTGAAGGAGATATTGCATAGCTTCAACAATTTACTGAATTTTCTTTCTTCAATTTCATTGTGAAATACTTATATCTGACAAAAGATAACTAGACAAAATTTGAGAAATGATTTTAACAGCATTATTGGAGGTTATGATCACCTTCAAACTATTGCCCTTTTGACTATATTAATACATCACATTCTGTCATGCCTGGAAATTATTTCCTGGAAGTCCTTTTCAATTTCCTTGTAGTGAGATTCAGAATGGTATTCGTTCAATGAAATTTTTAATTTTGGAAACATCCAACTCATGTGGATAAATATCTAATGGGTATTTGTCAGCTGTTCGCTTAGTCAATGGTTTTGGTGTTGGCCAATTTGGTATTTGTCTGTCATATTCTTGGATGACTGCTGCCACATTTCATCACAGATTCCATAAAATTGTTATCCACATAACCTTCATTAGCATACATTTGTATTATGAAAATATCAGCAGTTCATCACATGACATGTCACAGCCTTGCTGTAGGTATGTGTCCAGTGAATGTGTACCGAGCTGTCTGCTTATTGTTAGCTTTGTACATGTATAAATCCTTGCTTTAACAATTTCATGTCTGTAACTCCTTGAATATTCACAATAGTAAAATTACTACTGTTTATTTCTGATTTGTAATAATCTGCCCTGAATTAGTTTTACGTTATTGAACACCCTGAATATCCTTAGCCAAAGGAATCTAGTCCATAGTCTCCCACCCTGTTTCTTTAAGATCCATTCTAATGTTATCCTCTCATTTAAGCGAAAGTTTTCCATTTAATCGCAGGCACTCCATTCAAAATGTCATATGCATTTCTCATCTCCATCACATGCTACATGCCCTGACCAACTTATCCTTCTTGATTGGATCATCTTAAAAATATGTGGTGAAGAGTACAAATTATTAAGTTTTTCAATATACAAGGGTATATTAAAACCCTTCTTAATTGCAGAAGTGTTTAAATAAAGAAATAACATACATGTGAAAATTAATTCCATGATACATCATTCTTGTTTTCATTTCTAAATGTATTTTGTTACGAATTAACAAAATGGTTGCATAATGGTATACATTTAATAACATTTTAATTTTGATTGATAACCAAATTTCCCTTCCATCAATTATGGCTCATCCCCAACACCTGCTTAGAGACTCCCTATTGGCCTTTTCTTTTCATGCTTTGGCCCTCATTGTCCCACTCTCTCAACCTTTCTTTCCTCTCATCTGTTTTTCAGTCCCACTTCCCAGCATCACCTCTTAAGCCCTGAAGATGATGTGCTTGTAAAAAATGTTGGCATCTACCAACGGGTATATACAACACCAAAACACAGAAGAATTGTCAGGCGGAAAATTGTTTTGGCGGCCTTTCAAAATTTCCATTGCCCAAACGTGGATTGAATGAAAATACGCGAGGACAGTGACATTGGGACTGAGCATGGGTTTCTGTACTTGATCCAGGCAAGAGCACCCATATTGTCCATTACAGAGCTGGTTAAAAGCTATTGAGCATTTAAAATCTAGGTTTACTTGTAGCAAATTAATTATCAATATTTGTGTTACTGAATTACCAAATGTAGTGCTCCATGAAGCTACAAAAATTGGTAATATGAGTCTGATCAGTCTGATAAATGACGTAGCTAGGGGTACTGGGTTCTAGAGGACACATGCGACCATATTCTATTCCCCCCTTTATTGGGAGTTGCAAAATCGTACCTCTTTAAGCATCTACCAGAGTGGTTTCACGACTTGTGACATCTGTTATGAATAATTGGAATGAATTGTGTGTCGGTAGCAAAGTTAATTCTCCAAAAGGTACGAAGATGTCGCTGAGATCACATTGCTTGTTTTACTATTAATCATTCTGGACGGTGCATGTTATTTCAATCCTGTTCCCTGTATTTCTACCCGATCTTGGTAATAAACTGTTGTTCTACCATAGATTAATACAGAACATTGTTTGTCATCTGAGTATTACAGCTTCGATAGCTATTGCTAGAGTCTGTAAGGTAGTATAGACAGTGAGTGGCTAGAATTTCGAGGGTTGGAAGTCGAAGAAGTAAGGAAACGCAAATGAGGTGACACTGATGGTAAGTGAATGAAGTTCCTGAAGTAGATTTGAGGAAAGACTGGATGGTTCTGAATTACAACAGCAAGGTTAATGCCAAGTTCTTTTCACAGTCCGTACTCCACGTATATAATACCCTACGGACAAGAATAAAGCCGGTAGATGTTTTAAGTTTTCTAATAATTTGGTGCATGTTGGAGAAAGGTGGGAATCATCTTACGAATTTTGACGAATGGAACAAATTAATGTAGAATACTATTTTTTCAGCTCGTATGTTATAAATGCGATGGCAACAAGTTCACCACTGTCACACAACACTGCAATGGCATGCAGCCCTGATGTAAACAGGAGTCTGAAGGAGGCTTTGTATGAGACGTTAAATGGAATTCTATCCCCTCATCATGACATTAGGATTGCAGCAGAAGAGAGAATTCAAGCTTTGGAAGTCACAGAAGGTATATTTCTTCATTTTTTGTGCATATGTTTGAAGTATATGTTTACTAATTTGTAAACACAAAATGTGAATTACTTGTTTTGGTTTCATCCCATAGGGGAAATATTAATAAGCATTTTTCAGTCAAACCAAGGTAGTTTACTAGAACACTGAATAGTGTATTCTCTTGCAAATTCGCAAAGACAGTTTGATGAAAGTAATAAATGTTACATAATTAGTCAAATATTTGTGAGGTTATTTATTTTGTTTTGCTTATAAAGGACAGTGTGTATGGTATACCAGCTATTTGTAGACTTCAAGAACACCTATGATTCAGCTGAGCAGGAAGTATTTGTGAAATGGAAGGATGTTAAGTCATCAAATGAAAGTTTTATGTTATAAATATTTATGCCTATGTGACAATTTCTTTACTGCCATATTTCTCCTGGATGGTACTCAGTTTTGCTGCTGTTTCTCTAGGTAGTTTGGTTATGTTTCATATATTTTTGTTTTTGTTTTTAAGTATTTCATGCACTTATTTTTTGGTCTTCACAGGTTTCTGAAATTTTCAAAAGCTGTCAAGAATAAAATTTGACAGTTTTAAAATGAAAAGAATTTACCGATTTCTTTATTAATTATTTTTCAGACTTTGGCATTCACCTTACTGAGTTTACTCTTGATCCTGACGGTCCATTGCCTGTGCGGCAACTAGCATCTGTTCTTTTAAAGCAGTACGTTGAAACCCATTGGTGCAGTTACTCAGAAAAATTTAGACCTCCGGAAACAACAGAGCATGCGAAAGTCACCATTAAAGAGCTTCTTCCCCATGGATTGAAGGAATCTATTAGTAAGGTACAAAGAAATTCCAATACTGAAACCTTTTTTCCAAAACTTGTTAATAAGGAAACAATGCCTTTGGGTTATGGCTTAGTGATATATTCAGAATGAAGTAATTTGCGTGTATTACTTTTGTGGAGCTTAAATACTTGAACACTATTTTATCCATGTGTTAATTAGGGTTTCGTCTTTGTACCTATTTTTTTGTTTCATTTTTCTTTATTGAATTTTTATTTAAATTTTTTTAAGGTGAGATCGTCGGTAGCATATGCAATTTCTGCGGTTGCACATTGGGATTGGCCAGAAAACTGGCCAGATCTATTTGATATCTTGGTTAATTACCTATCCAATGGAAATGAGTGGGCAGTACATGGAGCAATGCGAGTTCTCACAGAGTTTTCTCGCGATCTGACCGACACGCAACTTCCTCATGTTGCTCCTGTCATCTTATCAGAAATGTATCGTATATTTGAAGATGAACAGGTGAGATATATGCTACAATTACATCAAATATATTTTAGTTTTCCAGTGTGAACATTTTTATGTGTTAAGTTTGTTATTTTATTGGTATTCATGTATACTCTACACAACAAAAATCAAGCACAAACAGTTCTATAAGTCTGAAACTGGAAGTGATGTAAGCACACGGCTGGCGTAATTCAGGATTCCATTTATTCATGATCTTGCCTTTGTCTTTATGTGGCCTTTTTCTATTTTACATTAATTGCCAAATGTCTATTGAGCAAAGGTACCAATATATCTACCAAATTTGAAGAAAAACAATTAATTTGAATGTGTATGACTAGGTTCCATGACAAAACAAAGGTGAAGAGAATATTTTGCTTGCCTGTCTGTAGTTATTCGTGGACAAATGAACCAGTACGAGTCCTGATGTAAAGGTTCTGTGTTTTAATCTATTAAGGCTCCCGAATTCCTGAGTGTAAGTCACCTATCTCATGTCAGCACTAGACAAGAATGGACCGCCACGGTGGTCTAGCGGTTAGAACGCTGGCCTTGTAATCCTGGGGTCCCGGGTTCGATTCCCGGCGGTGCCCGAATTTATAACTTGTGTTGGGCAAGGCCGTGGTCTAGGCAACACGGAGTTTTCCTCCAGGGGCTTCCCCGGTTTGTCCGTGGCATCCCAACAATTACTCCATTCACACACAGAAGAAGGCAATGGCAAACCACTTCTGGATCATCTGCCAAGAACGTATATGAACAGGTCCCAGTCCGAGAAAAGGATGGAAGGATCCTGTTCATAATATGTCGCCAAGCTCCTGTAAAGGAGACAGCGTAATAAAGAAGAAGACAAGAATGAAGAAAGAAATGTCCAAGCTTCGTATGTCAGTTATAGTAGATTTATTAGTGATGCAAACTTTCAAATGTAAACAAATTGGTAAATGTTTGAATAGTACTGTAAAGAACATGTCACAGCCACTTGCTTGAATATCTTTTGTGATTAATATCATTCTTAATTATCCTGTCATTTTTTATTTAATGTTGCTTAAACTTAAACAGTTGACATCATTGAACCATCAAGGAAAAACAAATGGTTGATTGTGTTTGGAGAATTGGGGAGGAATAGAAAATTGAAATAATTAGAGGTGTTCTGTTTAAATAGTTCTTACTGTATGTTATATTTAAATTACATATAAATATTTATTTTCCGTTTTTGTCAGAAATACAGTGTTCGTGTCAGGGGACGAGCCGTGGAAATCTTTACCACGTGTGCTTTCTTGATTTCCGCGATGTCCGATTACAACAAAGGAGTAACAAGAACGTTGCTGAATCCAGTTCTGCCTTCATTTTCTGAGAGATTCGTTCATGGGCTGCAGGTTCCTAATGGATTTCTCAGTGATTCATGTTTAAAAACAGATATTATAAAAGGTAAATATATAAAATTACTATGATTTTAATTTACTTAATACGGGCAACTCTCGGTTTACGAACGAGTTCCGTTCCAAGACGTTGTTTGTTATGTGTTTCTTGCATTCCTGAGCTTTTATGATACGTATCGTATACGTTAGCAGCCATTTCAAGGCATTAAAACCATGTACTAATTATCATATAATAATTTTCTGATAATTATTGTAAAAATACATTTTTTAAAAGTTTATTTATTTAAATCTTACAATTATGTTCACTATACGTTTGGCATTTCGTTTTATAAGGAACTCCATTGGCGACGTTAAGAAATTTTGATTGAATTGTGACGTTCGTTATAGCGAGTGTTTGTAAATCGGGCATTCGTAAACCGAGAGTTGCCTGTATGCCTTTTCTTCCTCTGTATGTGTTGATTTCTTGAGTAAACATGTTTATATATAAGCAAAATGTTTCAGCCCTGACACTTCTAGTTCAGCGAGTACCAAAGCAGATGGCTCCGTGGCTCCCGCAGATACTGCCTCCTGTTTGGCAGACCCTCACGCAAAGTGCAGATATTTATCTGAAGACTGTTGTGAATGGAACTGAGGAAGTGGATGAAGTTGTAGACTCTGATGGTGAGCTGAGTAAAATAAAATAAATCCATGGAATGGAGTCCTTATTTGACACAGCTGGTAGACCAAGAAGATTTTATTAATATCATAAATCAGGGTGGTCCAACTTTTTTCCTTGCTTGGGCCAGAATAGTTTTCCTCTTTGACCAAAGGGCCAAGAGACCCCTACTGTCACTATTTTTGCATTGTCGTTATCTCTAATGATACTTATTTAGAAATGAGAAATTCCCATTGCATGTGCTGAAATATACATTTTATTTAAATGCGCAGAAACTATTATAGAGTTGTTTATTATTTTAAATTTGCTCCTGCAACAGCTTGTATCTCTCTGGAAAACTTGCACAAATTATTTGAACTCCGCTAATTTAACAGCTTGTATCTGACGCAATAAAAATTTGTACTAGCAGAATGTGCATCTTATGCTTTTAAAGTCAATGGCTTTAGTGAGAGAACTGAGCATATTCTTTTACCAGTGATGGAATATAAACTTATATTTTTGTTGTTGCTAAACGAAGGGTTGATCGTAACACACCATCGGATGACGCGTACTGACTTGTGGCATTTGTACGTAAAGCAGCAGATGAGATGAGAATCGCAGTTATTTTTTCATATCCTGAAGAGTAAAGAAAATAAATGGGTTTCTAATAACTATTAACAAATACTTTCACGGGCCCGATTACAAGTGGTTGCGGGCTGGCCCACGGGCCGCCAGTTTTACCACCCTGGCATAAATCCTACTTTATCTAAGGTCACTGATAATGGTCTTGACATTATAATGATCATTCCTAATAGTGTTGCTTTTTAAGTTTATATATATCTCTCTGTTTTCAAGGCAACTGGAAACTAGTACACATGCTAGATTTTTACAGATTTGGTGATCATAGTTGAAACAGTGAATATTTTTTTGATGGGCTGCCAAAATGATTATGTGCATTTAAATTTATTTTTAGTTCCTGAGGGTGAATATGGGCTATGAGGTATCCTAATTTGACTGTATGTTTACAGGTGAGGTTCTTGGATTTGAAAATTTGGTGTTCAGCATATTTGAGTTTGTTCACGCATTGGTTGACTGTCACAAGTTCTCCAAAACAGTTGAATCTGCACTGACAGACTTACTGTATTACCTAATTCTTTTCATGCAAATAACGGAGGAACAGGTGAGTAATTTCTTCATTCTTGTGTGGTCGGTCATCTGACAAGTAAGCCTCTCCAATTATGCCTGTGTTCACATACCTTCTCTTCTTCAGTTTCTTCCCACGTTTTTCTTTTCATGTCATGACCTTAACCTCTTGTTCCTGTGTTGTACTCAGTCACTTTCTCGGGTATTTCTTTTCACTTTTATGTTCAGAATTATTTTGGGAGGATTTTTATTCGTTCATTTGTAAAATATGTCCATACCATGGCAGGTAGTATCGAAACATTGGCAGATGATATGGTTTACAAAGTTATTACAAACTGTATATTTATGTAATATTTTTGTGTTACTACAGTGTAATTACAATGGCGTCTAAGGGTAGTAGCGATAAAAAGAGGATTCGTAAGCCTCTTACTTTAAATGCCAAGTTAGATAAGATTAAACTTCGTGAACAAGGCATGTCTATGGCTGAGATAGGACGTAAGCTAGGCCTAGCTCGCCAAACTGTTAGTGCCATCGTGAACGCTAATGAATGAAATTAAATGTGCCACACCAATGAACTGTAAAGTCATAAGAAAGAGAGATAGCCTTATTGCCGACACAGAAAAACTTTTAGTTGTGTGGATTGAAGATCAAACCAGCCACAATGTGTGTACTACTGATATTCATTTAACTTTCATATCATTTTCTTAGGCCTAGCGCTATTGTGCACTTACTATATGATAGTGTAAACATCTTATTAGGCTTTGATATGCATTTGCAAGTGAAAAAAGGCAAAGATCCGCTTTTTGGCGATTTTCGCTTTACGGCGGGGGTCTGGTCCCTAACCTGCCGTATAAGCGGTGCCCTACTGTATTCACCATTCAGTCACCTGACGCGGCTTGTAACCCGAGAGTCTTTCTTTAATGTAACCTTCTTAATGGTTATAGTTGTTATTCATTCAACAAATATGATCTTTTTTAAACGTGTGGACAACATATATTGATTTTAGTGGAGATATAAAATGCTTTAAATAAAATCCTTATTTATGACATGCATTTTTATTTTAAAAAAATTTGGAAAATGTTGGTGTGGCATTTGAGAAAATATTGTATGTCTTCTTACTTGTACAAAATATGGGGCTTATTTTGTGCCGTGTACATAACACAGCAGCGTAATTTCACTTTGCATGAACTACACTATTTTGAACTTTACATTTATAGTTTGACATATTTAAACTTCAGGTACGTTTGTGGACTGCAAACCCTAATCAGTTTGTTGAAGATGAAGATGAGGACACATTTGCATATTCAGTAAGGTTATCAGCTCAAGAATTATTATTGGTAAGCTTCTTTCCTTTCATACTTACTCATTCTTTGTGTTAATGAAATCTTATTCAAAAATAATTCAAATTGGTAAAATACCTTTTTATTGCTGTGCATTTTGTGTTATGTCATTTTTTGTGAATTATTATGAATGTAATTGCAAGAACAGCAGTTTTTTAGAAGGCTGTGGCATATTAATCCATATAAATCTTCTTTGGAATTTTATTGAAAAAGTTGTGACAAATTGGTCTCACTAGGACTCAATGTTCATTTCTTCAGAATGACCTTGAAACCTGTTGCACTTACAAATGGGCAGAATCACTCGTTTATGAAAACGTATTTCACAGTTTTTTTGTTTTTTTGTGAAATTTGTATCTTCCTTTTTAATGTGTAATATACATATTTATATATTTTATGTTTTATTACAGACCATATCTCATATTTTTAAATTTCACATACATATACAGAGCAGCATGAATTACACAAGAATTTACATGTATTAGGTCTTTCAGAAGATTTAGAAATGCAGTCTGATATTTTTAGTCCCATTATATATATGTTATAGTGAAACATGTAGTAATTCTGATATTAGTAAACATTTGCCTATTGTTATATCATATTGAGAATGGTCTGAAACAAGGATATGCCTTTTTCCCATAGTTGTCTGTGTTTTACATGTGTACGTTAGTCATGGTTTAATATTTTTCTAGACACTGTGCACAGAGTTTGAAGATGGCAGTTGCTCTGCCCTGTGCCAGGCTGCAACAAAACACGTTCAAGAAGCAGATTCTCAGCGGAACTCAAATGATGGGAACTGGTGGAAAATTCATGAAGCATGCATGTTTGCATTTGGTTCAGTAAAGGGCGTGGTTATGGAGAAGCTAGAAGCTGGTGAAGTAGTCTTTGATTTGACTGGTTTTCTTCAGAATGTCGTCGTTGCAGATATGAATTCTACCGGTTAGTGGTATTGCAGCTGTGTTGATCTGCTTGTTATCCAGGAAATATTTACTTAAATTGGCTACTGTTCGGTTAATTTGAATTCCAAAGTACTGTTTCTATAATTGTAAGACTTTTTCAACTGTAAGGCACAGCCTTAATTTAGTAATAGGTTTTGAGGAAAAGAGATGCTATATCAAATTGTAAATGCCATCAAATGTAAGATGCACCAAGAATTCAGAATAACATAAAATAGTTATAGCCACAACATGATATTTCAATACAACCTGATTTGCTTTGTTAATAGCTAGAATTTTTACAACAGTAGTTATTTTCTGTTATCATTGTAACAGAATTTTATTTTGCAGATGTCACATCTTCTTCTTCTGGGTTGTGATGCCATGTGGATTTGTAGGTTGATTACAGAGTTTGAAAGGAACTTAACTACCTCCAATTTCAGGGCCCTTAAACATTTATATCGATCCACAAAGTCCACACAGCATTACAACCAAGAAGAGCAATTTCAGCATCTTCACTGTTGTGAGGATTTCAAATCTCTGATGCATTTTGTACTTATATAATCTGTGTTTTTAATGTAACATTGCTGAATATTTTATGTTATTCCCTTTTCACTGATATTTTGGCCCTTTCAGAAACCCTGGAAATGTGGATGGAAAATTTAATTCTTGAGGTCTCTGCACATTCTTATCATAGTTAATGATCCCCATGTGCAGAGAGGTAGCCAATAGAATAGTACAAATATTTACATGTGCATGAACTGTAACATTAATTTTAGTAAATTCAGTGAGTAATTCTTTTATGGTAATGCGAGTAATTTTTTCAGGTCCACCGTTCTTACTCGGTCGTTGTCTGTGGGTGGGAAGTCAATATACGCAGTTCATGTCTCCACCGATGATAGAACAGTTCCTCCAAGCAACTGCAACAGGTCTGCAGCCAACTCAACTGCCAAATATAAGAATATCAGCCATTCGGTAAGCAAAATTTATGATTTGGAAGTAACTCTGATAACCTTTAAGAGCATTGACTGATTTATATTACATTTGCTGTGGTATGCATGGCATTTTGAATGAGAACAAAGTTCCGTGGAAATATATTTGTGTTTTAGGAGGAGGAAGTAAAAGGAGGATGAATAAAATTAGACGGAAGCATTTCATAGTTGAGAGGATTAGATATATGGGACATGTAACACGATTGGGAGAAATTTGAAATCTGTAAATAATTTGGTTGAGAAACCAAAGGAAAGAGATTGCGTGGAGACCAAGGTATAGATAGATGAATGATATACCTTTCATTTCCATAAAAGCGTAGAAAAATTTATCATGTACATAACTAGCAACTTCTCATGAAAGATCTTGCTGCGTCTAGTAATATGGCGGATACTAATGTCTATGGGAGGGAAGCAGTATACATGTACTTTGTCAGTTATTTAAGTTTATAAATTTACACTGCTTAGAATATACACAAGTTTTATTTACATCAAAGTTGACAGAAATCTTTGGAATGTATGACAGAACGCAGATTCATGTTTATAAGGGTGAAGACTTCTAAAAGAAGGGGGGGGGGTGGAAATGGCTAAAATCATGACCTTGAGAGAAAAGGGAAAGTCATGTATGCAGTTCTCAGTTGCTCCCTCTTCTGACCTTGGTCCACAGATCTGAAAGTTTTCATAGCATAGATATAAAAGTTTCATAAAATACTGACAACCCGAAGAATGGTACCTAAATGTAAGAGGGTTAGTGAAATATTCTGACATTGTACTGCTGCAGTATATTAAGTAAAATTTCATTGTCGCTATTTTCAAAAATCTTATGCGGGATTATTTTTTTTTAAATAACTGTGAATTCCAATTTTAAAAGTGAACAATCTTATTTATTTTCCTTTTGGTTTCTGACGTGTATAATATATTTTAACAGTATCAGTACACTTAATATACCAGTATTTATTCCTCTTCTGTGTTTGTTTTATGTGTCAGTTTCAAAGGAATGAGTCAATGTATTATGTGTCTTTCAACAAACAAATTTATTTGTTAATGTACTCGTTTGTTCCATATTGTAATTATTTATAAATACCTTTAGCCAGCCACTAACAGACGTCAGTTACAGTTGTGTATGAAGTCAATAAAATGAGTGTGTATTGTCTCCAGGGCAGTTTGGGGCTTCTGTGAACATTTGAAGAATTCAAACAACACAGGAATGCTTGTCTCACTCCTTCCCTCAATGATGGATAATCTTCTTGGAATGGCTTCTCAGTATTCATGTGAAGTCCTCAGTCTTGTCATGGATACGCTCGCACTTGTTTTATCAGTAAGTTTTTAATTATCATATTCTCCTCCTAGTTTAATACTGATACAGTTTTGAAAATTTACAACACATTTTCTTACAGAACATTTGTTAACACTATAAGATTTTTTTGTTTACGAGTGTTCAATATGGTTACCACTGGTTATGCAACATACATTCAAACAATATTAAAAATTATCGCCATAGTTCTGATAGATGCTAGTCATATTATACACTTGTAAAAACATTTTATGTGTTATATAGTGATCCTTTTAACGTTTAACAAACTTAAAGTTAAGCCATTTCATGGTAACTTGGTGAATTGCATATGATTTTACATTTGTTTTCCTCCATTTTTGCAATATAATTTCTCTTTAGGTGGAAAAATTTGCTTGTCACAGACACGTGTTTTCATGAGGTTTCGCCAGCACTTTATTTTATTATGACAAGTTATTTTTCAGGTATCGTAAATGCTGTACTAATCAACTTTATCATAACTGTTAAATCAGAATAAGTATCTGATTCTGGTAATTTTGACAAGTTTTGGAACAGTAATTATGTTATTAGACTGGCTGATGAATTCTGGAAGTGTCCTGTAGAAATAGAAACATGCTAGAGGCTGTGGCGGGGATTTAGATTGTGACACTATTTTCTTGTTGGTGATCACCATTCTTTCTTAACTACGACCTGCCATCATATATCATGAAGGTGGAGACAATAAATTCATCCAGGGCTGTGGAGTCAGTACACAAAACCTCTGACTACGGCTCCTCAATTTTTAATTCCCTGACCCCGACTCCTTCATTAAAGCTCAATATGTAACTTATAACCTATATTTAAATATACGTCTAATGGTTATTGCAGAAATCGGTTGATTTGTAGACAGTTTGTATTCTTAAGGTACCAGAGCCAAAGTTACAAAGCATTTTTCCCACACCATGTGGCTCAACATGTCATTGAATCTCCCTAAACGTGAGGCCACCGGCGGCTCACACATTAGCGAAAGTATTATAATAATATTTTCTTAAGATTTTATTTCAAGGTCGGCGTCAGTACATTTTTACTGATTCTGACTCCACAGCCCTGGATTCATCCAAAATATTTGCAGCCACTGACAAGTCTACGTGGTATCAGAACCCAAAGGACTACAATCTGAAATCTCACCACCATGGAAATTTCAGATCTCATCCAATTATGTATTGGGTTGATGATATGAAAATTATGTGTTGCAGCGTAATTATTCGAAGGGATAAAAGTTTAAATCTGGAGCTCACATAATTATGTTATGCTTTTGTTGTAGCAGAATTATAGTTTTTTAATCTAAACTGTAATTTCAGCGTGGTTTTTTTTCCCCATTCTTTTTGTCAATAGTGGTTAATATTTTTATTTGGTTGAACCAGATTGATAGAAACTTCACAGCTTCTTGTGAGTCCAAAGTGACTTCCCTTGCAATAGCAGTCTTCCTCAAATTTAATTCTGGTGAGTTTCCATTTGCTTTACAAGCCAATCGTCTTATTTTTCTAGGGTAAATGTTTGGTTAACTCTAGTGCTGTAACTATCAGTGTTCTGTTATCATATCATGTCTTCATCAGACTGTAATTATTGACATTTATTTTTTGCTTGTTGTGTTCAAAGTACCAACAGTTGGCCCTTGGGTCCTTTTTGTTAACAGCCAAGTACTTTGATTACATTCTGTTCAGGCTGATCATTTACTTTCCGTTTATACTTTTGTAGCCTTCCTTCTAATGCTTGTATATCACCTCTTTCCTTCTGTTAATGTTTTGAAGAAAAATTCTCCAAATTTCTTTCCTGATTCCTTTTTCCTGTAATTAGCTTTACGCTACAGAGTATCTTTCTTTCGTAGACATGTTTATATTTATCTGTTTATATGTAATATTTTTGTTTAAATAATTTAATAATTGATTTTGAACATATTGTACTATAAACCTACATGTTAATATTACATTTGAAGAGTTAAGGTTTTTCTTTACTTCAATTTCAGTGGTTTACCACAGTCATTTCGATGTTAATTTTGCTTTTTCATCATTAAAAGTTCTGTCACATGGGAACCAAAGATCAGTCAAAACTATGTTTTGAATTTTGTTAAAATTCACTACTTTCAGTTCTGGGATTGATTGAAGTTATATATGAATTTGGTTGTGTAATGAAATAAAGAAAATCTTTTTCACCAAATAAGAGGCCATATAAGAGTTTATATGCGGAGGGAACACAGTGATTTTTTTGCAAATTTCAAAAATTCCTATTTTGTAATTGATCTGTTTGGGCCTTTGCTACTGTGTTGTCCCTTAATTGTGATATAATAAGTGGCCAGTTCTTTCTCATCTAACATAATTTACATTTCCAATCAGTGACTTAAATTTTAACTAGGGTTTTATTAACTTATATTTGAATGTTACTTCTATAACATTTCAGATCCTGTTATCATCACTTTAGTTCAGAATGTGTTCAAGGAATTGTCTCAGAACCCTGAGTGTTTGTCTCCACTACAGCATCGCTTAGTGCCAACACTCGTTAGCATTTTAAATGCTCCTGTGGATAAAATTCCATCAGGTATTTAGAAAGAACTCAATAACTATAGTATAGTAGTGAGCAGTGCACGGACCCAGCGCTACAAATTTGTCAAATAGAGACTTGATCATTTGTGTCATAATATTTATATATTCAGTTTGGATCTGTGCTACAAAAATGGTAATTTTCAGGCTTGCAGGCTGTAGCATTAGATGTCCTCCAGACGCTTGTTCGTTATTCAGAGCCGCCACTGAGTGATTTGCTCATGAATACGGCTTTCCCAGCTGCCCTTCAGTGTATTCTGAGGACAAATGATAATTCGACAATGCAGGTATAGACAAGGCTTGCACACACTTTTATCAATATTTTAGTTTCCACAATAGCAGTTGCACTTGTACAGAAAGCAAAGGGCAAGACTGGAGTAATTCATTTCCAGATACGTTTCCATTCATACTGGCAGATTAAGAAAAAAAATATATATTTTATTATTTTGATATCAGGGTAGATTTTGGAGTTTTTATTTTTCAAAAAACTTTCTACTAAAATTTTCTCCAGTGAAGTATGTATGAACTTTCTTTCAGAGTGGAGGGGAATGTTTACGTACCTATATCTCTATTGCTCCTGAACAAGTATGCAACCATCAAGACAGTGAAGGACACACAGGCTTATGGTATAGTCTTCAGGTAGCGGCGCTTCTGTTGAATCCTTCGTCTTCAGAATATACCGCAACATTTGTTGGTCGTCTCATCGTTACGCTTATAACCAAGGCAGGAAATATCTTGGGTGAAAATTTGGATATACTTTTGAAGGCTGTACTCAGTAAAATGCAAAGAGCTGAAACTTTAAGTGTAATACAGGTAAGCACTAAACAAATACCACAAATCGTGTTGCATAAACTTTGTCATATCTGTTATTGTAAAAATATTTTCATTTGAATTCTCCTCTAATTGCTTGAATTTATATTGAAGTGATATGAGTTCTGCTTACAGAGCCTTGTTATGGTGTATGCTCATCTGATACATACTCAGCTTGATGCTGTTCTGAACTTCTTGTCCACCGTTCCTGGTCCTACTGGCCAGTCAGCACTTCAATTCGTCCTTACCGAGTGGTGTTCACGTCAGCACCTTTTCTACGGAGCATATGAAGCGAAAGTCAGGTAGAAAGAACTTGTTATATGCTACGAAGTTTAATGAAATTTTCTCAGGTGATCAGCCGCGTCAGATGGTTAAACACTGAAACGTCGGTTTCATCGTTTAACCGTCTGACGAGGCTGATCACCCGAGAAAATTTTATTGAGTTATGTCACAGCGAAAGCTTCATATCATATTGTATGAAGTTTGATTGTACGTGTGTATCAAACATGGTCGAGTAACATGTTATTATTGTCTGTCTTTACATAACATCACTTATGTCTTTGTATTTAGTGAATGAGTGTTTCATGTCTGTTCATATAAGGAGGGTTCTGATTTCAATCAGTTCAGGGATTAGCTTTCCTGACTGAGGATTTCTGTGGTTTTCTTCAGTCCCAATGGGTATATGCTGTGACAGTACCTTACCTGTTTCTCTGTTGATTTTTTTTCTTTCTAGAGTGTGATCGAAGAATATTTATTTATTTATTATTTTTTATTTTATGTTTGGAATGTACGCAGAAAAATGAAATTATTGGTATGTGTTTTGATGAAAAATATTTAATTGTACTATACAAAATGCTGTTTGTATAATTATAATAATTGTTATCCCATGTTATCTCAGGACAGAAGAAAAATATGTTACTCAAAATTAACTCGGGTTAATATTGTTTTGCAAAAATCAACCCGAAATATCTCAAAATAACTGGGAAGCAGTTAAAGTATGCCATGATCGCTTCCTTTCACATTCTTTCCAACTCAACATTCAGAGTGAAACTACTGTTTGATGCTATATAACCTGCACAGTTAAAGTGTTAGAAAATAACCCAAAAATCGATCAAGTGTATACACAGTTAAAGTGTTAGAAAATAACCCAAAAATCGATCAAGTGTATATACGGACTGAACCATGGGAATTATGATCCCAAAAATCGATCAAGTTTACTGAACCATGGGAATTATGATTCCAGGACTCTGTATTTTGTATGCACTGAAATTTGTAAAAAAATTTATTAAAATATTTAGTAATACAATACCTTCTCTTCCATTGATATGTAGAAAAGTAGTTTTGAGAGTTAAAATTTGAACTGTATGCAGACATCAACACAGAACATACACAGATTAAATCTTTGGCTTCGAACAGCTATACTTGTTTTACACGGCTTTTGTTAGACTGTCGATGCAAATACTGGGCTTGCATCTGTAGATGAACAAGTTTTCTCTTTTCCACAGATAAAATTGGATCTAAAATTTTATGAAAGAAACCAAAAATATTTTAAGTTACTCACTTGTTATGTTTACTTTCTGGTGGTTGTAAATGATTTGTTTACATTCGAGTTTTGTCTGTATTTTTTGTAACCTAAACATAGTTTGTCTTACTTACAGTACTGTGGCACTGTGTAAATTGTTGGAGCATGGGATTGCATCTAACGACAGTCGACTGAATAACATAACTGTAAAAGGAGATGAAGTATTTGTAACAGATGTTATTCGAACCCGTTCTCAGACTCAGAATCAGTCACCGCAGTGGACAAATATCCCTCTTCTGGTGAAAATTTATAAGTTATTGGTGAATGAACTGAGCAATCAGATGGAAGCAGACATGGCACGTGACGAGGAGGAGGAAGAGGTTAGTGAGAAGTTTTAGTTGCATATGGCTTGCCACCAAAATACCGCAAGAACAGTGTTCATTCAATGTTTTAGTGGCAAACCATGTTTTTAGGCATGTGATGTGCCGTTGCCCTTTTGATAAGACAGTTTTCTTGTCTTTGCAGACAGATGAGGAATGGGAAGAAGATGAACTTGGTAAAGGAGAACAAGGGGTTTCTGTGTCACAAATTCTTGGAGAATCAGGTTACAAAGGTTGGTAGTTTCCATTTAAAACTTTTTTGTCTGATTGTTAAATGTTGAATTGTTACGAATTTGCAGTCGTAGTAATGTTATTAATGCGCATAATGAAGTTCAATATACACGATGCGCAGCAAAAGCAATGAAATATATAAAAAATATTTGTCAGCAGTAAGATTGTGAAAAATATATCATATTTATGTGAATGTAAGCCCCCCCCAAAAAAAATTGTCTTGAATATATTTTAAAGTTTGTTAGAAGTTTAGGCAATTATGATTCCTTGAATAAAAATCACAGCCCACTGTTGCTGTTTGTCCAGCAATTTACATTGTTACTTACAATGGAGCAGAAAAATTTCAAAAGCAAAAGAAAAAATAATTAATTTGGTAATAATATGACATGGCGAAAGTAATGAAGGAGCGTTACATTAATTACTGGTAATACACTGAAGATTTCTGTCTTTAGAGTTGTTACGCTGTGTAGTCTGGTAGATATCCACCAACATTTCAGAGGTCAACGCTGCCTTCAGGGCGTTGCATATAATATTTTTAGCAACTTAGGATGCAGTATTTAATTTGAATTGTCATATAGGACTGAATGTAACATGTCCTGAGATCTTATTTGACACTACTGAAACATCTATTGACAGTGGAGGAAGCAGGAGATGATGAGGATCCAGACGCTTTGCAGGACCCGGTGTATCACCTAAATATCCAGCAATACTTGACTGAATTCTTGCAGTCCTTCAGTCAGCAGCCATATTTCCACGCCTTTCTTCAACATCTTAATAAACAAGAGGAGCGAGTTTTAGCATCAATTGGTGTAGCTACATGTAAAGTGTAATATGTATTAAATCAGGGATAAATAAGAAAATAAGAACTGATAAACAGAAGTCTATAGTCGTAAGAACCTACTGAATTCCATAATAAAATGTAGGATATGATATCTACATATTGTGTGTTAGTTTTATTTTATAATAATCTTCTGTTAATTGTGTATTAATATTATCTTTAATATAACACCAAAGTAAGGGTCATGTGCATAGTGATAAATACTGGCTTGCAAGTTTCTTAATGGGTTATTATAAATGTTGGAGTTAAAATAACAAATCAGGGTAGTAAATTGTTATATACAGGTTGATCAAAAGTCACGAGGCCCATTCTTGACATATCCTAAACCAACCAGATGGCTTACGGAATTCGAAGGTTCATCACCGAATTAACCAAAGCCCTCCACCGGACCCTGTCCTGGGCCAACAAAATCCAGTCTCCTTCAACTCCTATCTCCCATAGATCCCGCCTGAGATTATTCTGCCTTCTACGTCTAGGTCTCCCCAGTGGTCTCTTCCCCTCGGGCTTCCCGACCAATACCCGATGCACACCTTTTGTCCCATCCAAGCACGCTACATACCCCGCCCATCTCATTCTTTTCGACCTAATCACCCTGACAATATTGGGGGAGGAGTACAGATTTTTAAGCTCATCATTATGCAGTTTTCTCCATGCCCCATTGTTTATATCCTATATTTATCAAAAAATAAATTACGTTGAAATCGGAAAACAAAAAGCAGTGTTATGTAAAGTGCTGGAATGTCCACCATGTTCTTTGATACATACATTCATGTTTTTCCTCGTGTTTGATGCAATTGGTGAAGAGTTCCTGTGTAATGGGAAGTGGTTTACCAGATGAGATATTGTCGATTTGTTTGACTTGGGAAAATTTGGAAATGTATCCCTAAACTCTTTCTTATGAGTGAGGTGCCAGGTAGTTTTTGACAATGAACATTCGGTAAACTTATGAAAAATACATCCTTACACTTCGACTGTTTGAAGACAATTGACAGACTGGCACAAGCAGGTTACAACATGAAATGACCTGTGTGGGCTGTTGAAGAGTCATAGCGATGTTGTGTTTTTATTAATTCGGTTGAATTGTATTGAATTGCGACCATCAATTAATATTCTAATATGGGTTGCGTGATTTTTGATTACCTTGTACAATAAAAGTTGGATATTAGGAGAACTTGCATTATCCTGAACAAAGCCATTAAGCAGTAAAATATCATACATGATGAGTCGTAGAGCTGAGAGCCAATGTTTTTGCAAATGGGTTTAGAAAGTGTGCTGTCAGCAACGATATCAAACCTGTTCATCTTTAAGATATTACTTTCTGAAAAGAATGTTAAGCTGATTAATAATAAAGAATTTGATTAATTATTTCAAAGTAAATTAAATACTTACAGTTTAGATCTTCAATATGACGCAATTACACTATCTTAGATCTTCAAATACATTTGCTACAGACATGGGCATGGTATATTAAACTGTATTTTGGGTAATAGAGCACTTCTATTTTGTAAGAAATTTCAGAGGAGTGGTTAGTGTCACTCCCCGGGAAAGACCCCAGTACCCATTGGATAGGAGGCTGGGTGAGCCCCAGGACCGGTCTGGACACAGAGGCTAGAGGAAAAATCCTTTGCCCCCGTCAGGGATCGAACCCCTGCCGTCCGGTCCGTACTGACTGAGCTACGCTGGCTCCTGCTTGTATGAATATTTTTCTGTATATGTAGCAGTATTGTGTTTGTTCCTGTTCTGCTCTGTTGTATAGTACAATTAATTATATTTACCATCTGAACATGTATTCACTTTTTGTTCTGATGAACACTGTGTCATTTATCTCTACTGATCATATTACATGATTTGTATGTAAATATGTTAATTTTTTATACTTCTGTTTTCCTTTAGAAATCACAAGTTCTGTACATTATTGACCTAAATTTTATAAATAATCCAAATATATGTTTGTTGCTTTGAGAAAATAGCTGAGGATTCAAGTGAAATCTGTTAGCTGTTATCTAATTGTTAACATGTAACTACCTACATATGTATCACACATTATAATTGCACTGCAAGCATAAAGTATTTCGTAATATCATTCTTCCCACAGTTATTCAGGCTGTTAGATTGATAACAATCCATATATGATTCATATGGCATTAAAATGTGATTATATTTTCAGATAAGCATTTATCTCGTGTTGGTCGAAAACACTCACAGGAATTCACAGGGGAATGACTTTTTCATATCTTCATTGCTTATCTCCTTTAACAATCATTCTTATCATTGACTCGACCATAATCAGACTTAGGCCACAACAAATGACAGAAGGAAAATTAATGTAATGTGTCTGCCTTCTGAGTTGTTGCGCCATATAGCTTGGTAGAAGTTTATCAATGTGTCATTGGTCCTTGATGCCTCCATCATCATTGCCCTGATCTTCGGTTGAAGTGTTGTATTTACTTCTACCAGATGCAAGCAGTGTAGGTGATAGGTATAAAGTGACATGTTTAGTATAATTTAAGGGTAATTTTGAGTGTGTATTATTCTACAGTACTAAAGTCCTAACCATAACAGCAATCTAACCTAATATAACTTGACCCAATAGACTCTCGTAACTTGACTTTTTGTGCGAAACTCGCGGTAATGAATTTTCATGTAATATAACAAAACCTCAGAAAATAAGAAAAGCCCAAACTACAGCACTAATTTAACCAAATGGAAAGTAAATGCACAGAATGTAAGTTTGTGTTGATTTTCCTTCTACTTTCAAAGCTCCTGCAGAGATACAAAACATTATGATTCAGTTAGATTACATATTGACATACTTTACGGGGGACGGCTTTTGAGCATGAATGTAAAAAAACAAGGTTTAATTTTGGTGCATGTGAACATGCTGATAGACTGCAAGAATTCCGTTTTACTACATAGAAAATGTAAGGATAGGTTGTCGTCTCCCCTCCTTCCCCATCCGTCGAGCCATATTAAATTCACACAAAACCGATTGCAAGGATGCAGTTTTGTTCAACGTAAAATGCAAGAATACAGTTTTATCCTATGCAACGTTGGCAAAACGGAATAGACGAAATTGTATTATGGAAAGGGAATAAATAAAACAGAAGTGGTGTAGATAAAACTGATGTTGGGGCAATTATACATAGTACTCAAAGTGCATGTAGGTAAAATCGACACTACAATTTATATATTTCATTAGGTTTCTTGCGGCCGATCTCACTGAATTCGCCTCGTCATGACTTTCCATGTCCAAATATTTTGCTCTTTCCCGTTTCTTACAATAGCAAAGATTTTCAAAAAGTGCAGTGAGTTTTTTTACATATCCAAAAGATTATTTTCAGGGTGATAGGTTGTAATCCCAATATAGGTAGTCAGTCATGTTTATGCTCCTTGTATTTCGATGAGCACCTCTTTGGCTGCCAGTTTCCTTTTGACTACCCTCTATTGCTTAAGGACGTATATTTTCAAGAAACAATGTTTTAATTATTACAGTTATTAAATATATGACAGATAAATCACATCCCGACCACATAAATTTAATTCTCCTTGGTATGTACATTCAAAAATGCATTCGGTTAATGGAAGTGTGTCACTGAAGGCCATTTAAGAAACTAATCTGTGCCAAGACGATTGCCTATCCGTGCAGAAAATAAATACAACCGTTGGCTTTTGGACCACAAAAAAAGGAAGTAAATGAAAAGAAAGGCGAAAATAGCCGAAACGTTTGAGAAATTATTGACTGTAATAGTGATTATGTAAAGGTGTTTTGTAATATGCTATGATGTGATAAATTATTTGACTACTTAGTTCTTTACAAGCGAGAATGTTTGAATATTATGAAGGAATAGTGCTTCAGAACTTGATGCCAGTGTAGTTCTTATATTGCCACCACAGGTGTCGCAACAATTTTAGACGTTGAATTGAAACTTCTAAAATGGCAGAGGGTTGGACCCAAAATGTGCGATGCCGGTAAGAACATTAAGACCTGTGTCGTTATTGCTGCCTTTCCTATGATGATTTGTAGCATTTCGTTCAAAGAAACTGTTAGGTTTACTGTATCTTGGTTTGGCGGAAAGTAAAAGACGAAAGTTGATGCTGCTGCCTATAACATCCTGACCAATGGGTTTGCCATGTTCAGTGAAATGAATAAGCATTCATATTTCGAAAAGTGATTTCCGATCTTTATTCAGTACAGAGTAAGTGATTCGTTATGCAGGTGCATTAGTTATTATTTTCATATTATTGCAGTATCGTAGAGCAATGAGCTGATAAGATAGTATGCAGTGTTTGGCGGTTTTAAATTTTAGGTTACCTGTGAAGGCCAACAAAGATAAACATCATTTAAGAACAACGTTGAATTGCCTGAATGTGACTGTTTAGTATATTGAACAAGTTTTGACGAATAAAAGAGATGTACATTATTGCTCACTTTGGTAGAAGATAGTGGAGTTCAATTTACATGATCCTATAAAGTCCAAGTTATCTGCACAGTACTTAAAGAAATAAGAAAAAGTTCTTAGTCACAGACCCCCTTGAATTTAAATAAAATTCGTTGAACATGTAAACTTTGTGGATGTAAGTGGAAGTGCTAAATTTTATCTGTCTACTCGGAGAATTTTCATAACAGGCATTCAAAACTAGAACAGTTACAAGCAATGTACAGAGATAGATGGGCAGCAGGTATGAAAACAAACAGCCCTTACCTTACTAATGCTGAATTTGTAATGTTTAGTTTGTCTTTGTCTGAAGAAAGAATATCGAGTTTTATTTCTTGAAATTTATATGTGGCCTTTTCTCTTTCATTTTGTACATGAAAGCAGAATTGAGTATAGAAATAATATCTTAATGTCTGTTGTAGAGTGAGACTAGATTTATATCTTTTACCACTGCAGCCTCAGTTGGGTCTGTTGGTTCCTTGAGAAAGGATTTTATTGCTGAGTACAATCTTTGTATTCTTCTAGAAGTACAATGTTAAAATGATGGCAAAACTCAATATGATAAACACATGACAGGTTTTAAACCAGATTCCTCCTGTAAGCACATAATTATTTTATTTCACTGACCTTGAATGTACTGTAGCATCTTTGTTTTGTACATTTATGTAATTGTTAATATAAGTAGGAATCAGGCCAAAGTGAATGTAAAATATTAATAATCTAAAAGTGATGTAAGTTATTCATTGTCTCTGTAGCCTTGTGGCAAATATGTAGGGTATCAAACTTCATAATCACAAAGCTGTATCTAACAGTATTTTAGTCTGACTTGTATTTATTTATAGTTTATTTGACAATGCTATTTCAATAGCTCAGACTATATATATATATATATATATACACACAGCGTCAAATGAGAGGATGATAGTGAATATTAGATTAGAAAGGATATGGAAGGAAGTGGTCATGGCCTAACTTAAGGTACTATCCTGGCATTTGCCTGGAGTGACTGAGGAAAATAAAAGTTAGGATAGCTGATCTTTGGTCCGGGACCTTCCATATATGAAGCAGGAGTCTGACTTGTTGATGGGTAGTTATTGATAACCACACATGTAGTGCTTTATTGCTACTCTCCTGTGTGTTTGAATGGATTCGTGCTTAATTAAACATTTGGGATAACTTTACCAATGTATGTTTTATGTCAAAAAAATCTTCTCGGGCAATTAGCCGTGTCAGCTCGTTACTAGTCAGTAGTTACTATGGTAACCAGTTGACGTGGCTGATTGCCTGAGGAGATCTTATTGATTGTACTAGCCGCGAAAGTTTCAAATCCTATATGTTTTATGTATTTTGTGTGTGAAAATTTTATATTCGTAGTAAAACATAAAATTGTTAGACTAGTTATGTATTTGCCTAGTGAACATACTTGATCCAAAATTATGGATGTAGATTGGTGGTCCTGTTAGAAGAGGTTTTTGGATATATAATTGAATTCCTAAGTTAATCATTACCTTCACCAGGTACTACGCAAATGGAATGTGTCGCGAGGGAGAAGCTTGTCGTTATCTACATCAGGAACACGCCGGATCATCCTTGGGTACATCTTTAAGGACTGATCTTTCTGAGATACGTTGCCGTTTTTATCAGCGTGGTTCATGCGTGTATGGATCCCGTTGTCGCTTTGTGCATGCCGGTGAGGTCTCTGCTTCAAGTACAAACAATGTTAGTCAGAACACCAGCATGGCATCGTCGTCTACCACTCTGAAAAACTCACCCACTCATATCAACAAAAATGGGCAAGGAGCTAGGTACAGGTATATAACTTTCCATTTGATTTCAACCTTTAGAGCGTAAAAGGAGATTTCTGTCTGCAATTGCATATAACCATCCTGGAACCAAATAAATGCTGCATTATTTTATTTGTTGTCATATTCACAGATGAAAATTAATTTGAAACGTCTAAGATTTTGCTTTGGAATGATTGCATCATGTCTCAATGGCACTTTACGTCTAATAAAATATTTTAAAGCAAAAAGGGCACTGACATTCTCATACACGATTAAATATATTTTTCGAAAATAGCAAATAGTACATTTCACGTATTTTAGATATTAATATCAGTTTTTCATCTAGTGATTTTCTGATGACGTTAGTATTTGTTTTTATGCCTCGGTTTTTGTAGACAGGTTCTTAGAAATCCCACTTATTTTGTTGTTAGTTTAATTGGTATTTAATGATCAATGATCTAAGTACCATAACAATATAAAGTGGCGTGTGTTAGTCACAGAATTCCTAATTGTGTAATATCACTTCAGTCTTCTTAGATCCAGATTTTTTCCTGAGAATTTTGTTCTTTCAGTGTGTTAGTCACAGAATTCCTAATTGTATAATATCACTTCAGCCTTCTTAGATCCATATTTTTTCCTGAGAATTTTGTTCTTTCTTAAAAATAAGAGACTCTTTCATACTCATACAAAACACCTGGCAAAATTATTGTTTTATATGTACTGATTCTAATCATATTCGAAAATAAGTGGGATAATAACAGTTTCGAGACAGAAAAGACATTTTCAGACTGAATAATAAGAATTTCCAGAGGTTATTCTGTTATCGTGAGAATTATTTTTGTTTGTCAGTGTTGTTCCTAGATATTTAAATGATTTATTACATGTAGTGATATAGTTCTGTTATGAATTTGTTGTGAATTTTGGTTTTGTTTTATTTTCGTGTATTTAGCTTTATTTATACAGGAAAATGCATCTTCATTGGAACCTGCATGAAGTGGAAATGTATCTTTGATGTAAAATATTTGCAATCTCAAGAATGTTGCTTAAAGAATGATCTAAAATCACTTGTAATAAGTGGAAACCAATGCAGGTTAGAAGGAAAGAACTAGCTCATGATGGAAAATGATCAGTTTTGATGTCCATATTTTGTTTTTGCACAGTTTTGTTGATAGCTGTACTTTTAGTATTTTATTCAGGCATGACAGATCTGTGCCATAGTCAACCCCAGAGTCATTTATAGCCATTAATTAGCAGATTTAAATTCTCTCGGAGGTAACGATAGTCCAGACATTTTTGCTTGTCCCAGTGTACGTATTACATTGTGACTTGCATAAATTAGGCTACTTTTTGATGAATGTTGGCCCTTTAATGCATCTAAATGACCATTAAGGATATAATCTCTTTGTACATAGAGAATCATGCAAAATGTAAATAAAAATACAGACTTATTGATTGTTAAAGCAGGTGGGACAGGGGTTAATGAAGTTTGTAAATGTGTAGGGGTTAATCTTTTGGCATTGTTTTTAGCTTTCCAGACAGGCAAAAATTACACAGATTTGGGCCTGGGGATCTTGGAAACTGTTATTTATAATTTATGATTAATTTAACAAGCTTGTCTTGCGGCATGTATATATAAGTGTTAGCTTGTTCTGCTAGTTTTTATTACAATTAATAGTAATGCAGCTACACTTATCTTTCGTAGCTCAGCAGTAGAATTTTTTGCTTGTATGTGAGGGCAGCCATATTGAACCTTAGCTAGTGCTGATATTTCTGACTGAAATCTGTGACTTTCCTCAGTCACTCTAGGCAAATATGAGGGCAGTATCTTATTCAAATAATATCATGATCCACTATCTTTCATTTTCTTACAACATTGACATGGTAATGCAGTTCACATCACTTTAAGCTGCTGTTATAACATGCACGTTGCCCGCAGACCTTCGTCGACTAACATCAGTATATTGAGATCTAAAACGTGAATCCTTCCTTCCTCTTTAGCACTACGGCCCTTGGCTTCTCTTGAGATCGATGTCCAATCTTCCCTATCCTGTGCTTTTCTTCTCCAGCCTCTTACACCCATCTGTTTAAGACCGGACTCCACGTCTTCGATCCACCGGAGTTTCGGTCTTCCTTTCTTTAATTTGCTAGGAGGTTTACTATTGATGATCATCTTACATCCTCTATCATCACTCATTCGGAGTATATGTCAAAGCCATTCTATCCTTCTTGACTTTATTACAGCTACAATATCTGAGCTTTTGAACAGCTTCTCGAGCTCGATATTCATCCTAATTCTCCATAGGCCAATTATAGTAGTGTACAACCGCACTTTAAGGTTTTGGTGGATATACCTTTTCCTGAGAACTTGGCCTAGAGCATAGTAGCATTTGTTACCCGCAGTGATTCTTGCTTTTATTTCTGTGAGTATGTCATTACAGCTTGTGATCAAGGAGCCTAGATATTTGAAAGACTCCACCCTTTCAAATTCCCTCCCAGCAATCTCTGCAACCCGAGGTTCATTGGTTCCGCTCGTCTTGTTCAGCATGTACTTGCTTTTGGTGTTGTTAATCTCTGGGCGTACTTTCTTGGCTGCAGTAATTATCTCTTCCATTGGTTCTATGAGGTACTTCATGCTTCTTCCCAGCGCCACCAAATCATCTGCGTATGCGAGTATCTGACAGGTTCTATTAAAGATGTGTCCTCCAGGGTTTGTTTTGATTGCTCTAATGATCTTTTCTAGACAAATGTTAAATAGCTGTGTAGACAGAGGGCCACCCTGTCGTAAGCCGGCCACTGTTTCAAAGCTGTCAGAGACCCTACCTTGTATTTTCACCTTATTGCAAGTATTTGTCAGGGTCATTTTCACCAATCTTACTAACTTCGCAGGAAATCCAAATTCTCTCATTATTTCTATTAGTTGATTTCTATCTATTCTATCGTAGGCCTGTTTGAAGTCGATATATAGTTTGAAACGTGAATCAGTAGAAATAAATAATAAATATGTTCATTAGGTACTTGTGGGTTATCGGGACACATCACTTTAAAAGTAGGTTAGGTTAGGTTAGGTTAGGTTAATGTGTGTGGATAAATGACATATACTTGAAAGTTATTATATTTTATTTCAATAAATGACAACTAACCTAACCTAACCTAACCTATTTTTAAAGCGATGTGTCTCGATAACCCACAAGTACCGTTCATTAATATCTATGTCAAAAGTTAGTTTACTTTGTTTGCCTATCGTTTTATTTACATTTCTCTTGATAGTCAGAAAACGTCAGTTTTGAAGAAACAAGGAATCAGTTCTGACAGTGGGATTTGGGAAGACTCAGATGAGAATTGGGTAAATGCACCAGAATTTGTCCCTGCAGGAAAAGATAACATTCTAAAAACAGCAGAACATGGTGAGTAGAATTCTAATTAGTCAGTCTTAATTAACCTTTGAAGTATTCAGTTTAAATAGCCATTGTACCACTTGCTTGACAGATTTAATTCTGGGTATTTAAAATTGAAAGATGTATTTAAGAAAATGCTGTATATATATTTTATAACCACTGACTCTAAAATTATAAATTAAGGAGTATCCACATGGAGAAATTTAATATAGAAAAAGTGTTTACTTTCCAAAAAGAAAATATATCCATTCAAAGAAATGGTATAATTTCTTTCTGAAAGTAAAATATGTATTATTCTTATTACATGAGAAGCAAAAAACATGAATTTGTACATCAAAGAGGATATCAGGTAGGCTGTAAAGGATTTTTAAGTTGTTTTATGTGGTAATCCTTAAAAATATGACTGCACACTTATGCTTTGCACACCCGAACAGAGTTTGTGTAAAGCCTCAGAAGGGTGGCTTTGGCTGTGGAATTTTGTGAGAATTTATTGAGGACAATTTCAGTTATGTGCATACGTACCGACAAAGAAACACTGTTGTCAGTATCAACAAACAGAAAGTACATGGTAGGTTTTCACAGCAGTGAGTCTGAAGATGGCTGTCTTCTGGGTTGTGCTGTGAAGTCTGGTGGAAGCTTACTGACATTTCAGAGGTCCTTCCTGCCTCCATCATCAGGGTAATGAGTAGGCCGAGCAGCTTTTTCATTGCCCTGATGATGGAAACGGCAAGGACCCCTTAAACGTCAGTAAACTTCTACCACACTTGATGGCATAACCCAGAAGAAAGCCATTTTCAACTAAAGTACATGTTTATTTCAGTGAGGAGACAATTTGTAGTTGTATTAGTTGTAAGCTTTGTGCAACAAAAATGCTTAAAATATTCTGTGTGGCTGGCATTGTAATTGTGACAATTCTTAATTTTCTTGCTTTTATTTATATATGGCTTTTCTGTGCCTTCCAATAATTACAATTATTTGTGCGAATTTGTATCGAGCAAAGACACCGACATGTATGCCCGATTCTAAGGAAAAACATCAAATTTCAGTTCACACAACAAATTACAATAAATAACTTTTTCCCTTTGGCGCATTATTTGTTTCATGTCATTAATTATTGTTCTGACATGTTTTTGTAAGTGGTGTGTTGTGTGTTTGTAGTGCATCTTAAGTCTTATGCTGAAGTATTGAATCCAGTGGCTGGCAAAAGGGTTTCATCACCTCAACCAAATTTATCCTCATCAAGTAATAAGAAAAAGCTTTGCCCCTTTAAAGAGGCGGGGGAGTGCAAATTCGGTAGCCAGTGTGTATATGTACATGGCGATACGTGCGATCTTTGTGGTCATGCCTCATTACATCCGCAAGACAAAGAGCAGCGAAAGAAACACATCAATGTGAGTAGTTGCTTTGCTATATGGTAATGACATCCTTATTTTGCAGGTTATATCATGGTGTGTTATTAGATTTAACATTCCATCTTGTATATTTCCAAATGGCATGGTGTGTCCTCATGTTCTTGATGGAGAAGGCCCCAAGGTATAGAGATAGCTGCAAATTATGGAATAAGCAGTAGCAGACGGTGAGCAAGGGATCGTCCTCTATCTACAGGGTTGAACAGGGTGTTTACGACTTGTTACTGTTAAAAAACAGCATGTTACAAAATGTTACACAGGGCCTCGGATTCGGATGGATTCTTTAGAAAGGCGTCAGCAATAGGAAATTGATGAAGCTTTTGCGGCGACCGAAGTTGATGAAATACTCTCGGGCTTCAAGCCGCTTCAGGTAGCTGAACGGTGAACAAACCAAATCTTCTGCCGTTTCGAGAATCATCTCTGTTTTCATCGTCAGGGTTGCTGGGTAACCATTCTGTTCCTTTGTTGTGTGCTAGTTGATGTACAGTATGTTGATTCTGATTGCCAGACTTTGATGTAGTACTTGAGAGCTATTGGATTTGGTGTTTCAGGAGTGCATCAAACAACATGAACAAGCAATGGAGTTGTCCTTCGCAGTGGCACGATCCAAAGACAAAACATGTGGGGTTTGCTTTGAAGTGGTGATGGAGAAATCTCCGCGTGAGCAGCGTTTTGGCATTTTGCCAAATTGCAACCACTGCTTTTGTCTCACTTGTATTCGAAAATGGCGACAGGCGAAACAATTTGAGAACAAAATAATCAGGTTTGGCATTTTAATATCTGCTGTTCTTGTTTATTTTTTATTGTAGTTTTACACAAATATCGTGTAAACATTAATTCTATAAATTGGCTATCAGAGCGTGATACAATAAAACTTACATTTTTCAATTTCTGAAACAATGAATTAGTTACCATGTAATGAGCATAATTTCAACATTGATGTGTGAATGCATTACGGTTGGTGGTATTATTATGGTGTGTAATTTGTTACGTGGGTCTGCTGCATGCATTGTACCGGGTCTCCAATTTATGAGGTTACGGTCGTGCTTACATTGCGTTATCAGCCGGTGCTGTTGACGTAGGCGGGACTTGTACGCGTGAGTCACGGGAGAGTTAGTTTCGGTGCCGCTAGTAACAGCGAACTACGAATATTTCTCGTCACTAATACATGTTATTACATTAACTGTTTTTACCTTAAATCACAAAAGATGTTCAAAGTGACTTCCTTGTGCTTGCAAGCAAGTTTCACATCTCGTTAACATGTTTCGAAATACTCGACGAAGCTCTTCTTGGGAAATTGCCGAATAGTTTCTTTTTGTGATTTAAGGTAAAAACAATTAATGTAATAACATGTATTAGTGATGAGAAATATTCGTAGTTCGCTGTTACTAGCGGCACCGAAACTGACTCGCTCGTGACTCACGCGTACAAGTCCCGCCTACGTCAACAGCACCGGCCGATAACGCAATGTAAGCACGACCGTAACCTCATAAATTGGAGACCCGGTAGTTGTTTTGTTTTATTTGCACATTTGATAAAGCATGGTGGTAACACAAAGGAAAAAATCCTTAAATGAAACACTGCACGATAATTACAGACATGTGGGATGTCTTGATTTCTTGGTGAAACAACTCGGATTATTTGCTATCAACAGCGAATATGATGGTCTAAAAATGTCATGTCATTGAAAAAGAGCAAATTAATGTGGAAATATTGGATTACCAAATACATTTCCATTCATAGTGTGTGACAAATAGTTTTAACTTTTGTCATGATACTGTACGTTTCTAGTTTCTGGGAATTTTTTGTTGTAAAATGTTCATACAGTGATTAATATACCTACAATATTTGCTGAGCATTCCAATAATGAGTCGAGGTGAAGGACGGTAATAAGCTTATGTTCAGAGTCCGAAGGTTTCTGGTCATGATGTATACAAAATGTAAAATTGTTCTTCTCGACTTTGTCCATCTAAGTTATAAAACAGTGTGTCAGAAGGTGGATTCTGTGTCTGTCTTCAGGTGGAAAAGTTAGGGAAGAGGACAGAAGGTCTATGTGATGGGCTGTCTGTACCCCCAGGTCTGACGCTAGCTCAACCAGGGGTCCCAAGCTCTTGGCTCACATTTCCTATCTGAAAACGGTAGCAGAATTCAGCTTCCGGAGCAATGTAGTTTTATAATTTAGATGGAGAAAGTCCAAAAGAACAATTTTGCATTTTATGCATTTTAGACTCTTGTGCACTTTACACCTTTTCTGCGCTAGTCCCCAGTAGAGTATAAATATGGTGTAAATATATCGACAAAATCTTCATATAGATGTTAATTCCAGGGCATGTCCAGAGTGTCGAGTGACTTCAGATTTTGTTTGCCCCAGCATGTATTGGGTTGACACAAAGGAGGAGAAAGAGAAATTGATCAAGGACTACAAAGGTGCTCTCAGGTAAATATATTGGTTTTGTAGCGGTGTCGTCAGAATCCTTGCATAAATGATAGAGCCATTTAAGTACGTTGACAAGGGTTCAGCTTTCAAACTGTTTCTGGAAGAAAATGTGACAGTTTTTTTGAGTTTTGACATCAGAACTGTTTCTTCTGCAGTTTGTGTGGCATTACTTTGCACATTTGAAGGAAAGTACTAGGCATGACATATGTGGTATCCTGGCTAGCTTTCATAATGGTAATTTACGGTATAGAAAATAATGATCTCTCCCATTCATTACCATATATTAACAGTGACTAGGTTGCATTGGCTGTCACCGTCGGTGGACGAGTGGTTAATGTGCTTGCCTCTTGTCCCAAGGTTTGTGGGTTAAGACCTGGATTTTTAAGGGTGATAAGAATCCGTAGCACAACTTACGACTCTTTGGAGGGGAAGTAAATCTGGCATTCCTATGTTGTAGATTTATGGGATGGTTAAGGACCTTACGAGCATGAATGAGATGTTTCATAAACAAAATTCAGCGGTCATTTCTCACCCAAGTCCACTGATTCACTACTAGATGGCTCTGGCAGTCAACTCTGGGTTGAGTAGATATTGTGCGGAGGCAGTGGGCTTTTCACTCACTATACACAAAAGCACACTTTGAAGACGTAAGACACCTCCAAAAGGAGGTAGCCAAGACCCACAGGAAGAAGAAAAAGTTTGCACTGACTGTGGCAATATGAAATTTGAAGATTTCGCATGCCTAATATGTTATGCATTCTCTGAACTGAGAGGTTAAAGATTTTTCTCATACATACATAACTATGAGTACTAACAGTTGGCCAATTATTTGTCCCTGTTTACATAAGCCTTTTGGGGGACTTGGAATTTTCCCAGAATGACTTTTGGTGTACAGCTAAAAACCCACCGCTACTGTCAGTCCTGCCGATTATTTTAATTGTTTTTAAGGAATACATGGATACATGTGGAATTTGTGTGGCTTTTATGCATGTTTCAAGTCCTTCAGAAAGTACTTTTCTAGATATTTTTCTTTTATAGTTCCCACTTTGGCCACCAGATCAGGGCATCTCAATATTGACCTCATGACTTTCCTCATCTGTCTTATTGTTATCACCATATATGGGGTTATGGGGTATTCAAAAGTACAATTTTAAGGTTGCGCAGAATAGCCCAACCTACACATAAAACTTCATCCAGATGTGTCGATTCAAGTTGAATCGACTGGACAAATGGATGGACGGACAGACAGACAAAGGAACACGACCAGACAATAATGCATTCTCCCATGTACTTTGTGTAAGGAACACATAATAAATATGGTAGTGACTTGTACAGTGAAACCTCGATGTATCGTTTTTGACGGGAGAGAAATAACAATGAATACGGGAAAACGACAGTTGCGGGAAAGCAGTTCGGTTAACGGTAGAATGGAGAAAATGTAACATGGGAATTGTCAGGGACCGAACAAAACAGACGATGCATCAGGAAAAACTATAGTTCGGGGAGCGATGGATTGAGGTTTCACTGTAGTTTGGATGCTTATTCTGTTAGAATGGCAGTTGATAAGAAGTTTGCATTGTTCTTTACAGTGTGAAGGACTGCAAATATTTCAAGTCAGGGCGAGGGAAGTGCCCCTTTGGAAACAAGTGCTTTTATTTGCATGCTTACCCTGATGGAACAAAGGCAGATGTGGGGCCACCAGTTCGTCAGCGACGGCACAGCGCTGATATTGATGTTCTGCAGGTGAGTTCTCTTTGTTGCAGGCCGAGGAACTTAACTGTAAGAATTGCTGACTTAACAAGAACCATGATTTGTGTGAGCGTTTGTGTGCTCGCTCATGAAAATGGAACATTTCATTTCAGTTGCAGTAAATTTGGAATATATAAACTTGACAGTTTTCTGGTAGAAATTGACCCAACTTTTTAGAGGTACTTACTGACATCTTTGAAGATATAGTCTGAAATTTACTATTAAAGCAGGAAATTATGGGAAAAGTTTTAAGTAACTTTGGTGGCCCTTGGCTAGTCTAAAAAATATGGAGATTTGCACAATAGTTCTACACTCTTGTTATGCATCCAAAACTCTTTTTGATTTTGAAATATAATCGCAGAGAAGGCTTATGAGTAATTTCCATTAGCATGAAAAGTCCAAGCAAAGTGTAAACATCCTGAGCTGTTGGTTTCCGAGAATGAACTATCTTCCTTCACACGAACATTTCTTGGAACAAATGGTGACTGAGACTTAGCCTGGACTTGAACAGAAGCATTCACTTGTTAAGAAGTTGTAAAATATGTTTGTAACGGAAGCACGAGCAAAGGCATATATTATCAGTAGTATTCCTGTATATTTGATTACTTTTATCAATCATACAATTTTGAAAATCCTTTCTTGTTTCACGTCAAAATGTTGTTTTGTATGGCGTAAACGCAAACAAATATCAGTCGTGAAAAGGTACACCGTCAAAGGTAATTTATTCCATTCGTTGGCGACATGTCAAATTGCTTTCATTGGTGATTAAAACTGCTGGAAAAATTTGTCATGCCCCGACTCAATCTATAATGTTACTGTGGAAGTATTATATGCGTTATTTCTTTTTAATTTCAGCAAGTAATTCTCTGGGACTTTTTGGATGAAAGGGAAAACCGCTGGCTCTATGGCATTGACGAACTTGATGATCTAGTGGCCTTCTTCTCTGATTCAGATGATTCAGATTGGTCAGATTATGAACTGTTCTTTGACTAAGTCCCGTCTGACCGAACAGCTGTCGAGGACCTCAAATCTCCTTTACCAACTGCCAACTGTGAAGGGATAGGATTGAAATTTGTAATATAGACTCATTATAGAAGTACTTGTACTTTGGCAAGGTAAGGAGCCCGCAGAATTATTTGAATTAAATCCATCAAAAATAGTGTATGTACCATTATAATGAATTGGAAAAAAAAATGTGTTGTTTGTTCTTTGTAGGTAGAAATTCTTGTGCTGGGTAATACTGAATGCCTCATGTTAAATAATTTTACTTCAAAGTTTAATATGGGGAGGGGCAACGAGCCCCACTATTAATAGCTTGCTTTAAATGTATGTTAAATAACCGGTGAATGTTTCACTTCGTACCGAGTGCTTTTTTCTTAGAAGCAGATAGGCCAGCCGAAATTTGATTTCAATTTGGAAGCACTCATATTTGCCACTATTAAAGGGGGAACTAACACCCGTCATTGGTAAAACCAATGAATTTTATTTGAAATGTGGTAGAATAATATAAGTAAAAATTGAATTAAGATTTTATTTTTTGTATGTATGTTGGTTTTTTTTAATGAGTTACGGATAAACTTCGCCCCTCTCCATATGTTACCTGTTTGAATTTTGCACTTATTGAATTTACATATTTTTGAATAAGTTCAGAATTGCTTGTGTACATTTGAAGATAAGTGAACAAATGTAAATTTCCTGTATGGCTTTTATTTACATTATGTTTTTCTGTGGATGAAATCATTTATTCTCAGTACTGTATGAATTTAGAGATTCAAATTGCACCAGTTGTTTAAGCATGTGCAGTTTTAAGAAATATGTAATTGAGTAGCATATGAGAATTATTGATAGCTTATATTACTAAAAGTCAGTGGGAAATTATTGACCCTTTATAAGTAGAAATTGTTCTAATTTGAGGGGTTGGTTAGAGGGAAAATTTTTGATTCAGATAAAATATGCACAGTGGAACTTTACTGGAGGAAAGTACAATAATTCAGGGCTATTCAGAGGCCCCAGTCATGAGCTTAGTTCAGGCGTTTCTTGGAAACGGGGATTTTAAGAGCAGTTATTTTAATACCCATTACCAGTATGTATAAAACAACACACTTAACAAATAAATGAAATGATTAGTATTAACATTTATTATTTCACATTAGTACTTACAGAGAAATGTGAATTCATTACATGGTATGCAACAGATATAGTGCGTTGTGTTTAGTGGGCAGTGCTTGGAAGATGAATTTGATCACTTAATGGTAAAAATTGCACATATTCACTGCACAAGGCAGATGTACAAACAGAATTGTATTTGGGCCAGGAGAGAAGCATGAACAATTTCTTGCATGGATGAACATGATCTGGGAAGAAGATCGTTGTCGTGTGGATTGCACTGTGCGGTCTGGCAGAAGTTTACTGTTTCAGAAGCGCTTGCTATCTCTGAAGTGACCGTTAACTTCTGCCAGACTACGTGGTGCAACAACCCAGAAGACGGCCATCTTCAGACTCATCGCCGTGAAAACTTCTTACTAATACAGGAAATTGCCACAGGGATCAGTAGTCTACATATATAAAATTTAGACCAAATAATTTTTTAAATGTAATGTGGCTTTGAAGACTAATCTTTGAAACATGTTCCTACAGTATACTATAATTACCCAGTTTGGAGATGCACCTTTTTCATTGTATGCAAACTTGAGCATTTCTTTCTAGCACAGTTTCTTAGAATTTCTTTGTCACGCGAGTAGTGCTGGCACTAGCGCAAGGACTGATTTTGGTCGTGTGAGATGGACCCATCCAAAGCGCGCGCTAGAGGGGTGTCAGCCTCAGTTGGCTTGTAGCTCTAGCTGTGTTAGTTCGGTGCGTCACCGCAGCTGAGGCTGTGCGACCCCCACTACTACTGAACTCCCCTTTCTCGGCTTACACATTGCGCATTTAGGTGCCACGACTACTCGCGCGACCCTTTGCTATTTTCCATTGAAGTTCGTGGCCAGGACTTTTTTGGGGAATTCTCTCGACAAAATGAGGGGAGTTTCTCCCTATTTATTTTGTCTCATAATGTTGTTTGCAGAGTTTTTAGGTATGAAACTTTGCACCTTTAGCCTTAAATTTAACTATGAAAATTCCATTGACTATCATATCATTCCACATAAAAGATCCTTTAGATGTGTTTAATAATATATTATATATTTGGAAAAATTTGAAGGCTGTCACAAATTAATACATACATATATTTCATCGTTGAGTAACAAAAAGAAGATAAAAATTTACAGAAGACTTTTCGTTCTTACTTCCAAAATGATATCATGTCTAGTAGCATTTTTATAATTATAGCTCAGATTGAAATTATATTATTAGCTGGGGTAGCTTAGTCAGTGTAGTGACTGACTATGGACTGATGCTCGATCCCCGACGGGAAGAGGATTTTTCCTGTAGTCTCTGCATCAAAACCAGCTCTGGGGCCCATCCAGCCTCCTATCCAATGAGTACCAGGGTCCTTTCACGGGGAATAAAGCGCAGCCAGGGCGTGATGATTTCTCACCCCCCATCTAGTGCTGAGGTCAAGAATGAGTAGGAGCTATATCGCCTCTTCCCCCCCAAGTGCCTACATGGCGTGTAGCAGGATAGCTTCTCTTTTATCCATCTTAAATTTTAAAACAAAAATACTGGCTTTATACAAGTATCTAATGTGTTGTTAGGTCTTCATATGTCATTGCCGTATCGTACTAAGTCACAGAAGCAATGACGTAGACATTTAATTCTATCTAGGTAATGGCATGCTGGTATTTAGTTTTCCGCCCTTTGCTTCTGTCGTGTGAAAACATTGGGTTTAGAAGTGGTTTGGTCTATGATCTGATATTGGAACCGCCAGCAACACAGCAATCAAATTGTGTAAATAACAAGTTACTTTTATTGTAAATTATTTGTCAGTAGAGCAAATTCTTTGTTCTTTTTCACAAATTTGTCACAGTTTTCCTATTCTAGACATGAGAAATCGGGAAGGAACTGTAAGAAAATTTTTACAATTTTCGTAATTGTTATTCCTTTGTCGGAATAGTTCTTTTCTCAGGAAGCATGATAAAATGAAGTTGTGAAATACTTATTGTATTTTAAAAAGAGTTAATAACTGCTGTAAAATTTGGCAAGTTCTCTCAAAAAATTAAAAATAAATGGAAAGGAAAATAATGTACATTATATAAGAAAAGTGACTGGCTGATAAACACGGACAGGCAACAGATGTGGTTAAATCTTTAGCTACTCAGATTGTTGGCCATAGTGAATATTGAATTATCATGCCAGTTTTTGTAACTAGAATGCAATGAAATTAAAAAGTACAAATGGTGTATTAATTTACGCTTAAAACTGTACAGAGCCGGAATGTTTTATAATGTTTATAAGTATTAACACCAGAATAAGTATTGGGAGAGGGTGATGTGCTGTGTTTACACCACAGAAGTTACATTTTTATATTCCGAAATGCTTTTAAAGTAAAAGTTTTTAACATTGAAGATTGTAACGGTGTGGTAATGGATCTGATTATGTAACGATCCAGATAGAAGTTTTTATTTTAGACATAAGGTATTAACTTATATGTAGTGAGTGAAAAGGGTGCATCTTATGATCAGATGTTTGTATGAGGATAGTAGTTGAAGAATTGATAAACCATTTTTTTTTTTTTTGGCAGTAATGTTAAAAGTGCATAGTTTAATAAATATAACAAGTATCAGCGTGCATTCAGTATGATAAAGCATAACATATAGAACAGTGTTGAACCTTTATTTAAATTACACATTTGAGCAATTAAAATATGTAAGATTTAAAACTTTCGTGGTGCATGAGTGTCATAAAATCCTCTTGGGCGATCAGAAATGGATTGTGGTCTTTTGGTTTGTGATGCCGCGTAATTTTGTAGGTTGTTACCACTGTTCTTCCTGAACATTATTTACAATTTGGCATTAAAACCCTTAAAACCATTTGTAATATTTCATAAGATTATCGGTTAGTATAAAGTGAAGATTTCGCGGCGACTGAAGTTATTCACCATTCAGCCACCTGACGCAGCTTGTAACCCTAGAGTATTTTATCGATATCTGTTAGTCTTTGAAGTTCTGATGGTTTGGTATTCTCATTCTTGCCCATGCACTTCATATCGTGTTTCAATATTCTGTTCACTTGTCTTAATGATTCATATTTTTTTCAAATTTAGTGAGTTTTTGCTGTTTCATTTTAGTTAAAAAATCTTTAATAGTTTATTTTGAAGACATTACATTGGAAGTGGGATCTTCGATGTAATCATAGGTATCTCAGTGAATCTGTTTTACTGCGTTCAATATTATGAGTGTTAGATTTCCAGTCATTTCAGTTGGAATCTTTTGACTATTACTTTAGTATGTTCAGAAAATGTTTTGCTTTGTTGTACGGAAGTAACTTAGAATCAAATTACATGCTTTTTGTGGCAGCTATATGCTTGTCTCAAGCATATTTCTGTTATTTTTTCCCCATGAAATTTGAATTTTAATATACGTGCTGGATAATAGGATAATTGGAAAAGATGTGATACACGCTAGGATTACCAGTTATATTTACAGTTGATATTAGTACATTTTTGAAACTAACGTGTTTTAATCCTCAACTGGTAGGGTGGGATCAGAATGATCCCAGTGAAATAAACTTAATAAATGTAACCTTTATAATGCACAGTACATATTCTAACTTAGAATTTTACCGAAAAGCCTTATTATTATTATCGTCATTATTGATGCAAATCACCAAGATCTAAGCCTTACTATATGCTGTGTTTTTACTGAAAACCTGTTTATTGGGATGTGTTCCTTACCACAGTATATACATGGGCATTCACCATAGTGTATTTTTTTTTTCATATGCCAAAATGATTATTTTTATGTCTGTTCAGCTTTTTGGGCATGTACAATTTTAAGTGACACTACCTCTGAAGTCTTATATCAATTCATCAACTGTTAGCTGTTCAGATGGAATGTAGTTTGCCTGACAGTTTAAAAATGAACTTATAAAAAATCTCAAACACTGCTGCGAGATTATTGCTTTCTTATTTCCCTGTCATCAAATCTTAGGTGTATCGATACGACATTAGCCCCATCAGAGTAAATGTTGACATTAAGATATCCCTGTTTGTACCATCACATGGCTTCGGGCACACCCCTGCCGCGTACTAAGTACGCGTTCCTGCACAATCTGTGTGTCGTTTGAAGGATAATACTTTGTAGCTCCATGTAGCCCGTGGTGATGAGTTATTATGTCTGAAGCCTTGAATAATAAGGCATGTACTCCACTTTGATCAACCACTTCCATACTGTATTCTTCCTCCTTGTTCACTCTGAATGACTAATTATTCTTTAGTGTTCTTTCCATGTTCAGTGCTCATTTCCCTCTACACACATTACAAGGGCTTCTTCATTACTGTATCTACTCGTGACATACGAGGAAATTAATGTAAATGGAACAACTGTTTTATAAATATTTCAGAAAAAACAAAGAACGAAATGTCACATTCCTGAAAAATGTACCCTTACAGTAGGCTGGGGTCAGTATGACCTTGAAATGAAACAAAAGTTATCGACAGACAGAACAATGACTGTACATTAATTTCGACCAATGTTCTGGAAGTCACTGATGATAAAGTAGAGAAAGTAGGTGACAAATGGAAGCATTAACTACTTTATTGTACTACTTTGAAAATAGTAGAGTGGGTAATTATGACCCCACCCTACCAGTTGAGGGTTGGTATGAGATGTGATACAAATAATATAGGAATAGTTTTCATTCAAGTATCAAACCCCATAAAACAATTGTTTGTGGTGGCACGTCGTGGTTTAATAATACTCCTGAATTTAAAACTGGCACCCGCATTCGGTGTCTCACGTGTCTGGCATTTAACTGGGCATTTGTAATATGATACAGAAACTGTAATTACATTTATTAATCTTCGTCAGTTACGGCAGTACGTAATTCTATTGCCGTTTGTAAAAATAGAACCTACAATGTAGTAAGAAAAACTTGTCGGCCTTTGATTTTGATTTAATGCTGATAAAATGAAAATTTTATATGTTAATTTATAATACTATTTTGTTGAAAATGTTTATGTAGTAAAATGCTGGTACGTTGTCACTGGCCGGGATCATTAGAAATGCTCAGTTTCTCGTAGTCTTACGCTGTACAGTAAATCATTATTCTTAGACATGTGATATACCTTTTCTCGTCCTGCCTCTCTTGCAAATCTTGAACATTGGTGGTTGATTTGACAAGGAATGTCCTGTTGTGATGAATAATATTTTATTATCCCTTTTAGTTTTACTAGAAGCTGGCGTAGCTCAGTCGGTGTAGTGATCGGCTACGGAATGGATGACGGGTTTGATCCCCGATGGGGCAGCGGATTTTTCCTCTAGCCTCTGTGTCCAGACTGGTTCTGAGGTCCACCCAGCCACCTATCCAATGGGTACCAGGGTCCCTTTCTGGGGGTGAAGTGCGAATGGGGCGTGACGCTGACCACTAACCCCCGTCTAGGTCAAGAATGAATAGGAGCTATACAGCCTCTCCCCCCAGTGCCTATATGGCTTATAGTGGGACAGCTTTTACTTTACTCTATTATAAACAAAGAATGTTTGAAACGAAACAGTAAAAGTGTAAAAGAGAAAGATGAGACAGTGAAGTTTGTATGTGTTGAATCATATGGTTTCTGTGAGAGTCTGAAATGCTGGTAGCTTTTATGTAACACAGACCCATACAGTTTGAAGCAAGATATGTAAGATTTTACACCTCTTTTCATGTAGTGGTTTTGATTTTATTGTTAACGGTTTCTTCCCGACTTCATAACCAAAACAAAAGTGAAAATTATGCCATGTCATTCTATGAGATTCCACGTTGCTTCTTATATATTTACGTCTTTTACTGTTACTAGTGTGTCAGAAGTTCTAAATTGTTACTACAGACATGAAAAGCCATTTTCAGTGTAATTCTGTTTGTGCAGTGTGATTGTCTCTTGTTTGCTTGCAGGCGGATTCTCACAGAGCTGGCCTCTTGCCTGATATTTATGTTTAAAGATGGCTTTTTACAGACAGCTAAGAACAAACTTGTCATGGTGTTGAATGCTCCATTTACTGCTTTCATATTGTCCACTGCAATGGTTTTGTTTCATTTTTCTTAAGCAAAATAATTTCTCTTCTCAGAAGCCATTACAGTAGTAACTTATGGAGGATTATATTCATATACAAATGAAGAATGGTAGCACTTATATAGATATTATACCAGTCATTCCACTGTAAATGTCAGGCATGAACACGTGCATTTTACCATTTTCTTCGGAAAACCTTGTTTTTCCATTATACTTGTCTGGTATTGAAGGGTACATATAGTCGTTAACCAGTCATGCATGGAGTTTGTGCACCTATTATAAGTCAGTTATGTACAACCCGTGTATTCTCATGCCACTCAGTAATGAAGGCCTCTTTGAATGTAGTAAACCCATCGGTTGTGTTTACTAGTCGAGTATGTGTGTCGCTATAAAACAATCAGGTACAGATGTTCCTAAATTAGCATTATACTATTCTGATGTGGAGGCGTGTGTATAACTTTTCAGTTATGTACAGAGGCTTTGTATTAGCCATTATTCCAGTAAATTATAAATGTCGAAATAGCCAATAACCAGTAACACAGAGAGGCGTCTTAAGATCCATTACAGCAGTCGTACATGGAGGCGTCCTTTTGTGGGTGTCTATATGCCTTTTATGCTTTTCATATGGAGGCCCCTATGAAACCATTATGCGTCAGATATGGAGTTCACTATATAACCCAGCCCGGGCCACGCGAGGCCAAGACATGATGAGCCGAGCTCATAACCACCCAGATATTCTCCATCCCATGCCTACACCAGCAAATTTCCTACACGGACCATGCCCATCCTATTCTGAGGCCAAAGAGTTACCAGGAAAGCCCATTACAACCACATGCACAATACGTGTCCAGCGCAGTCTATACCCAGTCCATGACCAGGATAAAAACATACTGATTCCACACCATTACACATGCCATGCAGATGCCAAACATTCCCTGCCCTGCACAGACCCAGCCAATATCTAACCCATGACAAGCCCAGCTCGGTTACCCTGTGAAGGCAATGCCAGGAGAGCCCTGCAGAGCTGAGCCCTTTCCCATAAGAGCCAGCCCACAAACTTTTAAGCGTATTGAAAGCCCAACAGCCAAGCCCATGTCCAGCCAAGCACATTCCTTTCTCAGCCAATGCTGGGAGACAGACACCGAGTCCGGCAGATAGCATGTGAGGAAGTGAATGTGTCTTGCAGACAGGTGTGGCAGAAGCCGTGCCTTGCAGAGGCAGGGTGTGGCAGAGACTGAATCTAGCACACCTGGTGTGACGGACCGAGTTGAGAAGAGTTCTGTTCTGGTGAGGATCAGATGGGGAGAATTTCGAAGAGACCGTGTGAGGCACAGACCACGTTCGTCAGAGTCCGGTTCTGCCATGCATCCGGTGGGGAGATTTTTTAAAGAAATTTTGAGAAATATGAAAATTTTCAAAAAAATCAAAATATGCTAGAAATTATCCAAAAAGTGCACAAAACAAATTTTTTTTGAAAAATTTCAATTTCTTAAATATTTTCTAATTCAAAATTTTTTGGTTTTGTGCGCTTTTTTGACAATTTCCAGCATTTTTTGATATTCCGAAAATTTTGAAACATTTCAACATTTTTTCAAAGCCCCCCAAGAGATGACTGGCATACTCGATGAATACTTCAACCTGTCTCACGGACACGGCCTACTGCCTCACTCGGTTGATTCCTGCCTCGGTGTTTGCATCATGTGCAGAGACCGTGTCATACAGAGACCGGTTAGTGCAGAGATCGCATCAGGCACAGACCGCGTACGTGAGAGACAGTACATATGAGAGTCCGACAGAGACCGCTTCTGCCATGCATCCGTTGGGGATATTTTTGAAAGAAATTTTGAAAATTCTCAAAAAATGCTACAAATTGTCCAAAAAGCGCATAAATTTTTTTTTGAAAAATTTCACTTTAAAAATTTTCCCTCATATCAAAAATCTTTGGTTTTGTTCGCGTTTTAGACAATTTCCAGCATTTTTTGATTTTTCGAAAATTTTAAAAAAGTTCAAAAATTTTCAAAGTTCCCCAAGAGATGACTGCCATACTCGGTGAATACCTCAACCTGTCTGTCGGACTCGGCCTTCTACCTCACTCGGTTGATGCCTGCTTCGGTGTTTGCATGAACCGGCCTCTGCAAGTCTCGGTCTCTAACTGACGGTGTCTGCCGGTCTCGATCGCTGACACAGGCGTTCTCTGTCGGTAACTGTCTCCGCCTTAATAGGTGTTGCTGCACACGTTATGTGCAGAGACCGGTTAGTGCAGAGATCGCATCAGGCACAGGCAAGGCAAGGCCATGCTAGGCCAGGGAAGGCAAGGTAAGGGCAGGCAAGGCAGGGCCAGGCAAACAAGGTAAGGCCAGGAAAGGAAAGGGAATTCTAGGCCAGGCACGGCCACGCCAGACAAGGAAAGGCAAGACAAAGACAGGCCAGGTAACACCAGGCCAGCGCAGGCAATTCCAGGCAAGACAAGGTAAGGCCAGGCATGGCAAGGTATTGTCAGGCAAGGAAAGTCCAAGCAAGTCAACGCAAGGCAAAGCCAGGCGAGGCTAGGCAAGGCCAGGCCAGAAAAGACCAGTCCCGGTAAGGAAACGCAAGGCAAGGAAAGTTCAGGTAAGGCCAGGCACGGCCAATTAAAGACAGACAAGGCCAGGCAAGGGAAGGCATGGGCTGGCAAGTCAAGGCCCGACAAGCCCAGGCAAGGCAAGGACAGGAAAGGAAAATCAAAGCATGGCCAGGCCAGGCAATGGAAGGCATGTAAAGGCCAGGCCAGTCAAAGGTAGGCAAGGGAAGGCAAGGACAGAGAATGCGATTTAAGGCCAGGCAAGGCAAGAAAAGGCAAGACCAAGCAAGATCAGGCATGGCCAATCAAGGCCAGGAAATGCCGGCACAGCCAAACAAGG